GTGTATTTTTGACATATTATATATACGTGGAGTACAACTAATTCTAATTAGGATCCCATTCTTGTGGTTGAACACGATATGAGCATAGGTAAGTTATGTCTGATTCATTCTGCCATCTTTCCTATTCTCATCCCCCTCCCTTCCCTTCATTCCCCTTTCTCTAATCCAGTGAACTTCTACTCTTCCCTTCCTCACCCTCCCTTGTTGTGGGTTAGCATCTGCATATCAGAGAGAACATTTTTTGGGGGGGGGACTGGCTTATTGCACTTAGCACGATATTCTCCTGTTTCATCCATTTGCCGGCAAATTCCATAATTTCCTTCTTCTTTATAAGTGAGTAATATTCCACTATATATATGTACCGCATTTTCTTTATCTGTTCACCTGTTGAAGGGCACCTAGGTTGGTTCCATAGCTTAGCTATTGTGAATTGAGCTGCTATAAACATTGATGTGGCTGTGTCACTATAGGATGCTGATTTTTAAGCCCTTTGGGTATATACTGAGGAGTGGGATAACTGGGTCAAATGGTTGTTCCATTCCAAATTTTCTAAGGAATCTCCACACTGCTTTCTAGAGTGGTTGCTCCAATTTTCAGTCCTATCAGCAATGTATGAATAAACCTTTCCCTACATCCCCGCCAACATTTATTGTCACTTGTATTCTTGATGATTGCCATTCTGATTAGAGTTAGATGGAATCTCAGTGTCATTTTAATTTGCATTTCTCTAGAGATGTTGAACATTTTTTCGACCATTTGTATTTCTTCTGTAAAGTGCCTGTCCAGTTCCTTTGCCCATTTATTGATTGGCTTATGGGTTTTTCTGGAGTTAAGTTTTTTGAGTTCACGAAGGGCTTCTTCTACCTGGTGGAGTATGCTGTGGCGTAAGGCTTTAGACCCTTGCCCTGTAGGCCGCCTCCGGGTTTAGGAGCAGGAGTTTCATGAGGTTTTACACAGGAGAACAGGCTTCCTATACTCCTGCTCTGGCCAGAAACCAGAGCAGTTGCTGGGTTTGTAGGTTAATGCCTCCAAGTCAGGAAACATCTCACTAATGCCTGTGCCTCTTCACCATCCCAGTGACAGCCCCCGCAGCCCCAAAGGAAGAATGGAAAGCTACCTTGAACTTCTAAACATCACTGCTACTTGACTTCCTGCACTTGCTCAGAATAGGTCCTGTGGTGGTGTGGAGGGACGTTTCCCAAAGACCTTCCACCAGCACCTCCCAGGCTTCACCCTGGGAGGTGCTGGTGGAAGGTGCTGGAGTCTTTGAGAGATGGCACCTGGAGGGATGTCCTTTAGATCCCTGGGGTCCTGCTCTTCAAGAAGACTGTGGGTTCCCAGCCTCTCAGTCTCACTGCTTCCTGGCAAATGGCTTGCTGCACCACATGCTCCTACCATGATGTGCCACCCTCCCTCACCAGAGGCCCCAAGCAAAGGGGTCACTCAATCTTAGACTAGATCCTACAGAAACCCTAAGCCAAAATACATCTTTTTTTCTTTATAAGTTACTTGCCTCAAGTATTTCTTTATTAACATGACTAATACAATACCCCTATTTTTTCCCCAATTACTATCAAATGTATAAGACCCATCGAGTGATGAAAAAGGTATTTTGTGCTTCCAGGAAAGAGTCCTCATGACCTGGGGACTATCTACATAGGCATGAGTAATCACTTTATGATTTCACGTATTAAATCCAATAAAGTTCCTTTACACTAACTGTGTTATGTATCCTTATAGCATATTATTCAGAATCCACAATAAAGTAAGTTTTCTACTGGACCCTGTTCAAGATCAGCACAAAATTACAGGCAAACAAATTTAACTGAACTCTGCTCTAATGACACCAGGTGGCGCTCTTTCCCAGCCTCTGAGGACCTCTATTGAGCAGAGGGAGTTTTGCTTACTGTGTTCAGCCTCCTGTCTGGTTGCAGAACCTGGATATGTGACCTGGCTCTTTCTTGCCTTCCAAATAGCTTTCTCTGAAAGCTCCCAAGATACCTCCCACAATCAGAAGCCTCGGTGTTCAATAACTGGAATTAGTACTAACCTCAAAGTGGATAAAGATAAGTTAGTTTCACCAAGAAATGTTCCCAAAAGTGTTCCTGGGGGTGCAAGAGTATTCTTGGAAGTAGGGTACAAGTGGTATGGAATTTAAAGCTAATCCATAAATTGCTAGAAATCTTGGATTTTGTAGCCAATCATACCTCCCAAGGGTTCAGGTGGGTAGAAGACACTCCAAGGAGGTAAAGAGAACATTTGTGACCAACAAAAGCACTTAACAGCTCATCCTGAAGCTCTAAGTCCCTTTGCCCAAGTTTGAGGTTTACAAACAGTGCTGAACAAACTGAACATTGTCTTGTCTTTTCCCTGACTTTATTACTACAAAAGCTACATTTAAAAGTGACTAAATCCTAGATTTGCTCTAGATGCTGCTTCTAGATACATGAAGGAAATTTCTCAGAAGGAAGGAACACAGGAGATATTTCTGAGAGCATCTAACAGATGGTTTGCAGGCATCCTGAATGGTGGACAATAAGCTGGACTATTCTAATTTTTTTATTATTTTTTGGTACAGGGGATTGAACTCAGGGGTGATTTACCTCTGAGGTGTATCCCCAGTCCTTTATATTTTTTACTTTGAGATAGGATTTCACTAAATTGTTCATGGTCTTGCAGAGTTGCTAAGGCTGGCCTCAAACTCGTGATCCTCCTGTGATCAACCTTCCAAGTCCATGGGATTCAGGTGCATGACACTAACCCTATCCCCTGTTCCCCATCCCCCGACTCCAGGGTAATTTTCCAATCTTTTCATTTCTTCCAGTGGGGTATCCAGGTAACTATAATTTGTATTACCAGGCTAACAACAAAAATGGATGCCCCTTTAAATCAAACCATTTTATATTGACCCATGGTCCTTAAGTGCAATCATGCCTGGAACAAAGACTATGACTAATTGAACTAGAATACTATTGAACTATCTTTATCGTGTGAACTTTGAATTATTTGATTTTTGTCAGTTAAGTTCATGGAGACATGTGTCAAGAAGCAACTTAAAAAAAAAGTACACTTTTACAAATAACCTATTGAAACTCACCCTTTAAGTGTTTGGTAATCAATAGGTGCTTGAATTAGGGTCATGCAGCTACTCACACTGAAACTGGGAAAAAACTGCAAAACTCTTCGAGATGTTGCTTACTTTTGAAAAGACTCCTATTTTCCTCAGGGAAGTAATTAATCATTATAATCAAAATCAAAATAAGTCAATGAAAAGGTATTCTTATAATAATGAAATATTTGTTTTGAAGAAAATAACACAAGACAATCCCTGCCTAACAGCGGTTCCACTTACAATTTTTTGACTTTACAATGGTGCAAACATGATAAACATTCAATAAATACCACCCTTTTTTTTTTTTTTTAAAAAAAGCATACATCAGTTTATTGTCATCCTCTCCCAGATTGCCACTGTAATCATCTCCCTGGTGTGTTGTATCCCTTCAAAAGTCCTAAATGCTTCTCTGTAGACATCCTTTGTTACTGAATGATTCATATGCACAGAACAACAAAAACATAAAGCATAAAGCACTGCCCAACCGCCCAACTAATTGGATTTTTGTGAATTGTGAATTTCATACTGAGACAAAACAAGTCCATTATGATGATGGCAGAAAGTGGTGTCAGTATTCAAGGTTTTAGCCAATCCCTTAAAACTGATTAGTTTACCAAAACAAGAACAATTAAAATCGTCCTAAAGCTCCTCCAAACTATAACCAAACTTCACAGGTAGGTGAGGGCAGGCTCCCTTGGGAGCACAGTTTCCTAAGCAGTGGCCGAGTCTCAGCCAACACTGCACCTGCGCTTTCAGCCAATCACAGGCTGCAAACTTCTCAGACAGGTCCAAACGAAGCCAAGGCCAAGTGGTAACCCAACGGGTTATTCCTGCAGGCACTTCCTTCTTCCGTCTGTAAATACTGCCCTGCTGCTCCGGGGAGCTCCCTGAACTTTACTGTTCCCGCGCGCTGCCTGGTTCATGAATCCCTTCTTTGCTCAAATACCGATAAATTTAGCCCAAGTTCTTTGAACGGTGGCACACACTGCTCAGGCGCTGAGGCTGACAGCCTCCGACCAACTGCAAGCCTGTGTCCTGCAGGAGGCACCTCCCCGTGAGCTCCCCCAATCCCACCCCGTTGCTTCAAGTCTGAGTCTTGGCCCCCTAGCATCATGGCTGCGCTGCCTCCTTGCTCCAGCCTCCTAATGTGCCTGCCCATCCTCCACCACTCTTCTTCCACGCAAGCCTGCCGGTTCAGCCAGCTGCCTCCTTGGCTTGGCAAAGCCCTCTCACAGACCGGTGCCAACTCGACCCGACAGCTTGTCTCACAACCTCCCCTGCAAGGCCAAGTTCTGTGGAGCTGGCCCAGCTTCTCACTATTCCCTTAACAGCACACGGAGATGGCCTCCTGCCCACTCCCTTGGCAAACTCCTACATGATCTTCAAGACCCACTGGGTCATCCTGACCCATCCCTGTCCTGCGTTCCCACAGTACTCCTGTAGATAATAATGAGGGTCCCTGAGCTTTATGCAACACTGAGGATAGACTCTTCAGCCATTCTGTTTCCAGGGATGAAGAAAGGGTCACCCTCTGAGGCTAGCAGTTTTGGAGCCACACCAGGAACTGGAATCTAGCTCATGGATGTGTGGCCCTAACTATCTCCCTGGCCCTCAGGGGCCCATTCCCCCAAACCTAATCACATGACTTTGAGGGACGGGCCTGAGCAGGTGGCCCCAGTTGAAACTGGTGAACAGAAAAGGCAAAAAAAAAAAAAAAAGTGGAAAGAGAGGGGTGAGTCCTGTGGTCAGAGATCAGGAGGGGTAGGTAGGCCACATCCCCTCAGGTGGCCACACCTCAAAGCCTGAACTTTGACTGACCTGGATAGGTAGTGGAGCCAGGCTGTGCCCAGGGAGTTGGAGGTGCCAGGCTTGCTCCCTTTGCCACAGTCAGAGCCACCATGGCCTGGAAGACCTGGGAGCTGCACCTGCTACTTTTGCTGGGGCTGGGACTAAGGTCCTGGGGGGCCCTACCGCCACCCTGTGAGAGGTAGGCTTCTGGGGAAGGCTTCTGGGGGCAGAGAGGTGGGCTGGGATGGAAGGCTGGAGTGAGGCCTCAAGCTCTGAGATTCAGCTCTTCATAGGGAAGAGGGAATTAGGTTTTCTTGTGTAGCAGGCTCTGTGCCAGGCACCAAGCCTCCAGTCCTGGGACAAGGTGAAGCTGCCTGAGAATGGCCTGTACATGGTCCAGGAGCCTGCTGACCAGAGCCTGTTCTCCAAGCTGCTCTTTGAACCACAGGACTGTTCTCAGGATTATATTATTCTAGCAAATAGTGATCAGTGCCTCTGGGTCCAGTCCCGGGTACCAAAATAAACAACTGAGCAATGAGGAGATCGGGGAACGTAAACCTATTTCTTTACTTCCCTCTAAGGCCTGAAATGCCAATAAGAGCTGTTCTGTCTGTCAGCAAAAGAGACTGAGGCCCCTGGCTATTGTAGAGAATCCCCTGGGAGAAGGCCCTGGACACAGGGGCAAGTTGGACTGATGCCAGGGATCCTGGAAGGCTGCAGGTGTGTCCTAATGGGAAGGGACAAGGCTTTGCGTGGCAGTGCAGGCGGAAATGCTCAAAGTACTGCAAGAGGACCAGGACAGAGGACGCAGCAGTTGAAGCACTTCTTATCTGTCACAGAGCAAGATGAAGGCGTAGAAGGCTGCTTACACACCTTCCCACACGTGCTCACACTCCACCAGGGGGAGCGCCTCAGGAAGGTCCCTGCTAGATAGAGGGCTCCGCTTTTCTGGGAAATTGAGAGGTGGGGGGCTGGTATGATGATCCAGTTCTTCCCGTGGGGGGAGATGACAGCATAACTATACTTTTTTCCTTGGTACCCACGTCACCTTTCTTTTCTTTTTTTTTTAATATATATTAGTAGTTGTAGTTGGACACAGTACCTTTATTTTATTTATTTATTTTTATGTGATGCTAAGGATCCAACCCAGTGCCTCCCCCATGCTAGGGGAGCGCTCTACCACTGAGCCACAACCCCAGCCCCCCCCTCCCTGCCCAGCCCTGCCACATCATCTTTCTCTATCCTGCGTGATACGGTGGTCTCAGTACCAACTGCAAGAAGCGGCGATGATTCCTAAGTTTAGAAAATGTAACTAAACTTTTAAACCTTCATGTGAGAATTTCTCAGGGCCCTGTGGGTGGCCAGGCCTTCTCTGCCTCTGACAATATGGGGCCAGCCGCAGAGGCAGCCGCTGTGCTGCATTAGCCTACCTGGTCTGTAGGGATGCAGCCCTGCCTATGTGAAGGCACTGAGGGAGAGGCACTTGCTAGACCAAAATTACTAACTGCAATCTGCACAGGCACAGTGGCAGAATCTAATGTCTTTTCCAAAGGAGGAAATGTTTGGATATCCATGGAGAGAAGGAAGGATTGCCACTGAGGGAGGAAAGGAATGAATAGATGGATCAATGATAAGTGCAAAGAGGGAATTCCCCTGTTCCATTAGTGTTCTGAAGGAGGCTCAAAGGAAGGGATGACATCGCCTCTTAGTCACTTATACCAGGTGCCTGCCTTGGCACCTGATAAGATCAAATGGAACCCTGTACACCTGAGTGGCCTTATCCTGGAGGACATTTTGTCCTGTGATATGATGATAGCCTGTCATTGAGGACAATAGGGCTCTAGTGTTATGCCAACATATTTTCACTTTTATTGTTCTGCTATTATCTGCCATATGGTGATATTGTAAAACATTGGCATTGTTGATAAGATTATAATGCTAATATTAATGGTCATCTGTATTGGAAAACCACCCCATCTCTTCCTCCTTGCTAGTTTCTCTAAATTTTAATTGTAGCATTTTGATGTTGTTTCTTTATCTGTTAAAAAAAATGCTACACCAAACATAAATGCTGAGAAAAAGTATGACTGTTTTGCTGTAGGGGACTGGTGGCCAAAGACTAGGGGGTGGACTGTTGTATAATTAACAGGTTTGTTCTTTGACCTCAGTTCTTGGGAGGTGACCTCTAAACTCTTGGAATTTCCCAGATGATAGGATTGTCTTTGGTATTCATGGCCATCTTATGCTAAATAGCTTTTGCTGAGGAATCCACTCAGCCAGGGGTCAGGCCACTGGGGAAAGCCTGACTACACGGATAGGAGGTGGGCTCTGAGCCACCTGGTACCAGCCCAGACTCCTCCTTCTGGGTGGGGGGAGGCAGGGGCTGGAGATGGATTCCAGTTGTGGTCCACGATTCAATCAGTCTTGCCTACACAATGAAACCCCAAGCTCTGGATACCCAGGATTGGAAAGGAAGTCAACCCGGCAGTGGGCTGGAGGGCGATGTGTCCTGATTTTACAAGGAAAAGACGTGAAAAGACGTGGGAGCTTGCCCTCAGGACCTTCCCACACCTCCCTGTGTGTTACTGTTACTGTCCAGGGGTCTTAGGTTAATTGTTTCCATTCAGCAAAGAATTAATGAATGGGACAGAGATAGCAGTTGAACAGAGGTGTGTTCCAAGCCACAGCAACAGACTTCAGGAAGGGGCCTGGAGCTGGGAGTCAGCTAGAGAAGTTCTGGAGGGTTCTTTTTATGGTCTCTGGAATCCCTCCTTTGCTTTTCTTCTCCCCTGCCCGTGCTCTCCTCTCTATTGGTGTTCCCTGTGTCCTTGTGTCTGTCTTAGTTTGTCTGTTGGACACACTAAAGGAGCACCAGCTCACAAGCATCTATCTGATTGTGTCTGACAGTCAGACACAATCGCTCGTGTCCGTGAGCACTTGCGTCAACCGGGAAGTGGACCTCCTTGGCGGAACTTCTCCCTGCTCCCTTGGTCTGGAGGCGCTCTGACTTCCTCCTTCACCATCCTGCCCTGGCCGCCTCCCCCCCCCTTTACATCTCCCTTGTGTTTCTTCATTTCATTATTATGATAACGCTGTTGTGGAGCTGGGGCTTTTCAAGGAACTGAGGCAGCGCAAAGGCCCCTCTCAAACCCCAATTCTTGTAATCAAGTCAGAAAGATTTCAGACATGTCATCAGAGTAATGAGTTTATTGAAGGGACACGAAAAGGAAAAGGGGACACTTTCAGGGGAGAGAGTGGATCCTTTCAGAGAGGAGGACAGTGTGCCTCTCCTGCACTCCAGTTTTATTGGGGATCCCGGAGAATTCCACCCAGGTCCACCTCTTGACTTTTGACTGACAACAGATTGACAGACAACTCTATGACAACTCTGTCACCTTGGCCCATGGTGACTAGTCATATTGGATTCTTTTTTTTTTTTTTTTTTTTAAGAAAATACCTGAAATCGTATGTATGCCTATTCTAATCCCAGTTCCCTTACCAATAACAAAATCCTTTTTTTTTAAGAGAGAATGAGAGATGTGGGGAGAGAATGAGAGAGAGAGAGAGAGAATTTTTTAATATTTATTTTTTAGTTTTCAGCGGACACAACCGGTGCTGAGGATCAAACCCAGGCCGCACGCATGCCAGGGGAGCGCGCTACCACTTGAGCCACATCCCCAGCCCTATATTGGATTCTTAATCATCTTTATAGGTTTTTATGGTTAGGAAGAATTATCCTTATCTTCTGGGATCTGTTCTATGAAAAGGTCACAAATGTCTCTCCCTTCAAAGTAACTTGGGTTCCTCTTATCGATGTTATTTCCTGCCTGCATTTCCTGGCAGATAACAGGGAGTTTGCTGAGGAATGTGACATAGCCTGTCCACTTAGGCCAGGAGGGCTGCAGGTAAATTGCTTTTTGGTGAAGAAAACCTGTGAAGTCAACACAATGGGCCTATTTTATAGAATTATTCTCTACCCTGTGTTCCCATCATCCACATCTCTCTGTCTCCTAACAAAACTATAATTTTAAATATAGTTTGTCTACTGTACTGATTTGTATAGAACTAGAATTGTAAGAATAGCACCTCCCAGGGCTGGGGCTGTGGCTCAGCGGTAATGTACTTGCCTGGCATGTGTGAGGCACTGGGTTCAATTCTCAGCACCACATATAAATAAGTAAAAATAAAGATCTATCAACATCTAAAAAAATATTTTAAAAAAAGAAGAATAGCATCTCCCAGAGTTCCATGAGCCACTTTAGCAATTACCAAATATAAGGGATTATGGGAACCCCCAGATTTGCAATGAGTTGGCTGAAGTACAAGTAGTCTGGGGACCCCCCAAACATGCAGCTGGCATCTGAAGTGAGTATGGTTTTATTAAGCTGTGCCCTGAAACCTGTGCAGTCCACTCAGCATCACAATTGAATTGCATATACCAACATTCCTCTAACCTCTATTCTCTTATGACAAAACCATTGTATTTGCTGGGTATTTAGTATAGAATTAAGTGATAGATACAGCAATAATATCAGTCAGTCTGTGCCTGATATGAGAAGAAAGCAATGATGGCTAGGGAGAGATTTAAAGAAACTACGAATGTGACCTATTTGCATCTTATGATAAACTTGTGCAGATCTAGCCAGGCGTAGTGTGCACACCTGTAATCCCAGCAGCTCGGGAGACTGAGGCAGGAGGATTGCAAGTTCAAAGCCAGCCTCAGCAAAAGCAAGGTGCTAAGCAACTCAGTGATTCAGTGAGACTCTGTCTCTAAATAAAATACAAAAATGAAGGGGGGCTGGGGATGTAGCTCAGTGGTTCAGTGTCCCTGAGTTCAAATCCCCAGTACCCCCCTCAAAAAAAAAAAAAACAAAAAAACATTGTACAGAACTGATATAGGACATATGAGGCTGGACACCTGAGGAATTTTCAGGAAACAGTTTTATTTAAACTGCAGTGGACCAGAGGGGCTAATACCCCAAATTCTCTGGACCTCAAGTCTGGAAATTCTCTTAGATTAATACTCAGCGAGGTGGTTATTACACAGTGGGTGGGTACATGACAGTTACTCCTTGTCCCATGATTTAGGCTAGACAGAGGTTTTTCAAGTTTTCACCATGGAAAACAGATAATAATCTTTAGCACAACAACAAGCTTGGTGGCAGACCTCGCTTTTACAAGAGAGAGAAACCTACCCTTTACAAGACAGAGGAAGCTTCAAATCACACTGAGTTCTTTGCAGAAATCCTGCTAACATTCTTTGTAAAGATCTTGTTGACTAAGAGAAGCAAAATGAGAACAAATATGGTGGGGGGTTTCTGGAGACGCTTAATTATGGTGGGGGTGGGGAGTACCTGGTCTGCATCAGAACTGCTTAGTATAGAAATTAGCAGCAGGTGTGGTGGCACATGCATGTCATCCCAGAGGCAGGAGGATGGCAAGTTCGAGTCCAGCCTCAGCAATTTAGTGAGACTCTGTTTCAAAATAAAAAAAATGAAAAAAGGGCCAGGATGTGGCTCACTGGAAAAGCACACCTGTGCTCAATGCTCAGTTTTTGTTTATTCTTTTTTTGGTAAAGGAATAAACAAAAATTCCTCTTCAGGCCGGTCACTTTCCATTGGTATTACATCCTCAGGAAGCTTTGACTCAGTCTCCTAATATGGTCAGTCGTCACTCTCAGTACTATCATATGATTTGTTTATATAAGGTAGTTAAATCTTATCAACAATGCCAGCATTATGCCATATCATAGCATATTCACAGAACAATTCTGTTTCCTTATAGATGTGCTTGTAAAAATTACAGAGATGTTTTCTATAAAGCCCTCCCAGTAGAAGAATAGACATTATGAATAGACATCAGTGCAGGTGACATGACTTGATAATTTTCAGGGTTCTAGGTTGGTTGGGGACAAGGCCAGTCACCCTGCCTTAGTTTGCAGGCTTGGTTTCACTGTGTGCACCAATAGTACAGGACCCCCCTCCTACAGGGAGGACATGGTGGTATTCAGAATAGTCATCTCCTTGCTAACTGGCCTGCAGGGTAGGTAAGGACAGACAGTGCATCAATGCATGTTGCAGGTGTCCCCAGAGAACCCCCACAAGTATGAATGCCCCTAAGATCCCCAGAGCTGTGGCCTTGGAGCCTCAGCAGCTGGAATGCAGGGTGTTCCGTGGTTGCTTTGGTCTTAAGTCTGTGTTCACTAATCAAGAGGCCCTGCTGGGGCAGTGCACTGGCCCTTGCCCACGTTGGGTCCAGTCATAATCCAGCATGATTAGCACTTGGCCTGACTCTTCACTAGAGTGTCCTCGTTGGTCATTATTCCTACGGCTTGATCCCCTCCTGGGAGAGAACTCCCCAACCTGCTTGATCTAGTTAATAAATCCTTTTCCTCTGAGTGCTGCTCCTCACCTTGTTCCACAGTAGGGGAACCTGTCTCGCCCAAAGCCCCCTCTGTCTCCTGGCCAGTGGTGTTCAATCCGTCCTGTCTGTCATTGTCTTTGAGTGTGGAGGGCCTCAGCGCTGAGTTCCCCACTGCAGAGTGAGAGGCACCGTGGGTCGTCGCACCGTGGGTCGTCGGTACTGAAGTGAAACTGAGTATGCTGAAGGAAGGCCCACAGGATGGGGCTATTCCTCAGGAGCAGTTGGACGGCCAGGTGCTGCCACGCTTCGATCCCCTTAGAAACCCATCTTCCTCTATTCTGTTGGGTAATCATCTGTCTCCAAAAACAAAGGTGGCCGGCCTCTGTGCATATAGCACGCAGCGTCGGCTCAAGCGTGCTGCTGCTGCCGCTGCTATATTTTGTCCAATGTAACCAGGAACTTTCTAAACACTTGGTTATCAAGGTTTACAGTTACAGTGATTTGTCTGCCACACGGTAAACCACCCACTTCAAAGGGCCAGTAGGGAGAAGTTTCCGGAAATTCTTTCCCAAATGCTCTGCTCTCCTTGTAGTAAATGTAACCTGAACCTAAGAGTCAAAAGACTGGCGCATTCCTCAAGTGACATCCAGTCCTCAGCAATTGGTCCAGCTCATCAGCTTATCATATGACCAGCATGTTTCAGAGCAGTGCCACCCGGGTTCCCAAAGCAGGAGGACTCCTGGCAAATGCAAGGCTTCCCGCCCGCAGGCATCTGCTATGCCCATGCTAAGAGACGGTATTATCCTCTTGTTCCAAGTCCCTCTCAGGCGCCAACGTGATGTTAGGTTTCCTTCACTGCACAACTCATTTATTTATTTATTTACCTACAGCTACGTTTCTCCTCTCCATTACCCATCAGTTTTTTTTTTTGTTGTTGTTGTTTATTTGTTTTGTTTTGTTTTTAATATACTGGGTATCAAACCTAGGGACATCTTACCACTGAGCTTTTTTTAGTTTTTGAGACAGGGTCTCAAAGTTGCCTAGGGCCTAGCTAAGTTGCTGAGGCTGGCCTTGAACTGGCATCCTCCTGTCTCAGCATCCTGAACTGCTGGAATTCCAGATGTGCACCACCATACCAGCTTCACATTGTGTTTCTTGATCTGAAGGAAAGTCGCCCAGCAGTCCACAGAGCTGCAGGATCTTCTGTTCCAAGATAGCATTTAATAGAATTCTGAGCATTTGCATCCATTCACAGGTGTGCTCTGCCACTTTAGCATCCCCTCTTAAATTTCTATAATAACTCCCATTGGGTTCTGCCCCGTAGGGAGGACATCTCTAATAGTTCAGTTTTTCACTGCTCAACTACCAGGCCATTGGCCACTGCCTGTGAGTCAGTAAAAACCCAAACAGAGGGGGTTTCATCATCCAACTTTGCCTTCACTGCAGGACAACAGCACGCAATTCAGACCCTGGGCTGATTTGTTCTTACCTTCTTCAGAGATTCTCTGTTAGAGTGAGTGGCCTCTTAAACAAACCCCGAAATCCACCAGCTTTTTGTTGGTCAATAGAGAGCTCCCAGGTGGCCATAGGATCCATCAACCCCTTGGGGCCTGCCAAAGTTGGCTATGGGGGAAGAGAAGCTGCCTGCTCATCGGTATAGCAGCCTTTCCTGGCCTCCTTCCCGCGGCACGAAGCACATCCCTGAGCACCATTGCTATTGCATGAGAAGCTCTTCTGGGCTCCGCTTCTCCACCAGAAAACTCTGTTGACATCATCAAGACCTTTCGGGCATTTCAGGTTTCAGAATAAGTATCCTGCAGTCATGGAGCAGTTTCAGTGAGCACCCAAGAGCAAACTAGTCACTCTTTTACATGGCACCCATTGTACACCACATCTGGAAATTTTCTGGTCTGAAATCTCAAGTTTCCACCGGGTGCAACTCACAGGCTTTTGTTATAACACTTCCTGGTCCTGGTTGGATCCACACGAGGCTGTTGTGCAGAGAGTTGGCCCACGCCAGCCCTCCAGGGGCTAATACATCACTGACTGAAGCACTCAGCTTCTTTCTTCACCCGCTGCCCTGCACTGGGTCCACGTAACAACCAGCCAGGGCCCTGGCCACTGCGCACTTCCTTCACTATACGAAGACCCTGCTTGTTCTCCCAGCCATGTCTGTCACCACCTCCCACAAACTGCCACCACAACAAACACCACAAACATGCACGGTCCTAGTCCAGTCCCGGGAAACACTCCCTGAAAAGCCTGTTCAGGCTCTAGCCTCTCTCTGACCCTTTTCGCCCATGAATGTCGCTGCAGCCAGATTTACTGCCACGGGGAACTCCTGCACCAAATTCAGATGGCCAGGCTCTTTCCAGACGACAAGCAGTTTGTGGACATGTCGCTCTCCACAGCTCCAGGTGAGGCCACCTCCCACCCAAAGAAGGCAGGGGAGAGCAGGGCACAGTGGTGCATGCCTGTAATCCCAGTGACTTGGGAGGCTGAGGCAGGAGGATCACAGGTTCAAAGTCAGCCTCAGCAACCTAGCAAGGCCCTAAGGAATTCAGCAAGACCCTGTCTCTAAATAAAATATTAAAATATGGTTCAGTGGATTCAATTCCTGGTACCAAAAAAAAAAAAAAAATGGCAAGGGAGAGAGCAGGTGCAGAGGCAGCCTGCTGAGCCCTCCCTGCTGGTGCTCTCCAGACCAAGTCCTGCAGAGGTTCCGCGAGCTGGCTGAGGCCCACAACCACAGCATCCCCAGGCAGCAGCTGCAGGAGTTCGTACAGCAACACTTCCAGGCTGTGGGGAAGGAGCTGCAGCCTTGGACCCCTGGGGACTGGAAAGAGAGGTATGAGTCTGGACAGGGGATGGGAAAGGACCCTTCTGCCAGGAGGGCCTCCCTGAACCCTGTGGGGCCGGCACTCTTCCAGTCCCCAGTTCCTGCAGAAGATCTCGGATGCCAAGCTTCGTGTCTGGGCATGGCAGCTGAACCAGATCTGGAAGAAGCTGGGGAAGCAGGTAACGCTGTCCTGGGGATGCCCAAGGGTCTGGCCCACAGCTCTAGGAGTGGGAGATGGATGGCTGTTGGGCTCCTGGATCAGGCCTCTGCCTCGGGACAGTAACTGCTGCCGCGTGTGTGTGTGGGGAGCCCTCCCTCAGCACAGTCCCAAGGAACTTTCTCCCATTTGTCTGAGGCTCAGAGAGGCCCGTAGTTTGTCCACCTGGAGGATCCCCCTGAGTGGTCTCCCAGGACCACCTGAGCGCTCTCCAGTGGCCTCTGTTTGCTGGCAATGAGAGCTGCTCAAATCACCCTCGACAGCTTGGCCACCTTCTTCCTCATAGGGACCCACCTGTGCCCCGTTCTGCTAGTCCCTCAAAATGACTGAGGCAGGCTGAGCTTCCACTGATACCATGCACGCTAGAACTTGGACAGATGGGCAGAGAAAGGAGCTGCTGAGCCCTGTGCAAGCCCCACACTGCTCTTGCCCTTGCTGTCCCTCTGCCTGATTCCTGGGGAAAGGCATTCCCCACAGCTGGGGGAGCATTTGAGATTTTGTTCCCACCTGCCAGAGCTGCGGGTGGGAGGCTCGCCCATGGGGCCTGACTTGGATTGGTGGTAGCCACACAGAGGTGGGAGTGGAAGGGAAATGAGGGCCAGCTCCCCTCTCCTGCTTAGGCCCCCAGGTTGCTGACTGGTGGTCACCTGCCAGGTGCCAAGATGAGTGGTCAAGGCTTCCACACACGGATAGGTTGAGCCAGGACCTTGAAGGCTGTGGAAGAATGAGGACCAGAAGGCTCCTCATGGCCATGCAGCAGCAGAGACAGATCCTGGCTCCTCAGCCATGGCACCAGGGCCTCTGCCCCCACCACCACAGCCTCCACCCTCATGTGGCAGTAGGCTCCCCTGTACCCTCTCTCCTGACTCCAGATAAAGCCAGAGGTTCTCAGCCAACCTGAACGATTCTCTTTGATCTACTCAAAACACCCCTTCATTGTGCCCGGCGGGCGCTTCGTTGAGTTCTACTACTGGTGAGAATCCTCAGGGGTTGGCAGTGGTGGGGGACGCAGGGATAGTGCCCGACTGTCCTGGCTGTGCAGGGCCCGAGGGCTGACGCCTGACTGCCCCCTTTCCCAGGGACTCCTACTGGGTAATGGAGGGTCTGCTCCTCTCTGAGATGACGGAGACTGTGAAAGGCATGCTGCAGAACTTCCTGGACCTGGTGAAAACGTAAGTGGGCTCCTCCAGATGGGACTGGGCAAAGCAGGCTTGCAGCTGGATCCGCCTTGGCCATTTCACCAGGCCCCCCGCCCCCCTTTTTTTTGGCAGCTATGGGCACATCCCCAATGGCGGGCGCGTGTACTATTTGCAACGGAGTCAACCCCCGCTCCTGACCCTCATGATGGATCGCTATGTGGCTCATACCAACGACATCACTTTCCTACGGTGGGTCTCCCCTCCTACCTTGTGCTGCCCTGCAGGACTACCCTCTACGGAGACCTCCCAGGAGGGGGGCCACCCTGTGCTTGGGCTGAGGCTCTGCTGCCTGCACTGCAGGGAGAACATCGAGACCCTTGCCTTGGAACTGAACTTCTGGACAGTGAATAGGACCATCTCTGTGCACTCAGGGGAAAAGAGCTATAACCTGAATCGCTATTATGTCCCTTTTGGGGGACCCAGGTAAGGAGCTGCGCCCTGCCACACACACACAGTCTTCTTTTCCATTCACTCTGGTGTGAGCATCACAGACCCAGGATTGGAGGAGCTGCAATTTAGCCTGGCCTCTCAGATGGGGATGCTGAGAGCCCTGAGCCACCTAGGGCTGTGGGGCCCAAGGGCAGCTGAGTGGAAATAGCTCAGTCTCCTGCTTGAGCAGAGAGGGGCCGAGCACCTCCTAGTGCCAGTCCGCACCTCTCCTCTTTGCCAGGCCCGAGTCCTACAGCAAAGATGCTGAGCTGGCAGAGACCCTGCCCGAAGGTGAGCAGTAGGAGGCTGGGGGGAGGGCAGCTAGACTCCTACAGTGGGTGTCAGGCCTAGGTCAGCTGCTGCCTTGTTCTGCTCTGTCCTCACAGGGGACCGAGAGGCTCTGTGGGCCGAGCTCAAGGCTGGGGCTGAGTCTGGCTGGGACTTCTCTTCTCGCTGGCTGGTTGGAGGCCCAAACCCCGACTCGCTCAGCAGCATCCGAACCAGCAAATTGGTGCCTGTTGATCTGAATGCCTTCCTGTGCCAGGCAGAGGGGCTGATGAGCAACTTCTACTCCAGCCTGGGTGAGCACAGCCTCCCCCCCCCCCCGGGAGGAGGGGACCGATCAGCTTGGTTTTCTGCCTTGGCTAATGGGCCCGGCGGTAGGGAAGGCCTGCCCCCCCAAACCCCATCATTGGCAAGGTCAGTGAGTCATCTCTGCAGTAGCATAAATGTACTGGGCCCCCCTCATCGTCACACTACCCCTCCCCTTCCTACTGTGAGGCCTCGAGGACCTATAGGGGGACACCCCAGTCCACAAATCCAAATTCCCCTCATTCCCTTTTTCCAAAGCTATACTTGGCCCTCTCAGAACTAGGGGGACACACACAGAGAGACCCAGGCAGGCCCAAGGAGCAGTCCAGGGCCATTTGCTCAGGGATTTTATGACCCAGAGGCTTGAAAAGTAGTGGGCTCTGGGGAGACATGGCCCCTTGACCAGGATGGCTCAGCCCCTGGGGAAGAGCACAATAATGCAGATCAAAGGAGAGTCATTTAAGACATGGGGACCCAAGGGCAGAGCCCTGCTTGTTCAGTCCAAATGCAATGCCACCACCAGGGAACCACTCCCAGGCTGAAAGGTACAGAAACTTGCGGGCCCAGCGCTTGGCCGCCCTCAGTGCCCTCCTGTGGGACGAGCAGAAAGGCGCCTGGTTCGACTACGACACAGAGAAGGGCAAGAACCTGGAGTTTTACCCTTCCAACCTCGCCCCGCTCTGGGCCGGCTGCTTCTCTGACCCTGCCACTGTGGACAAGGCTCTGAAATACCTGGAGGTGAGGGACAGCTGGCCGCTCTGAGCCCCTGGAAACACTGAGCAGGGACTTGGCAGGTCAGCCACCTACCCACTGCTGTCTGTGCCTGTCCTCGCCTGCGGGTCCCACTCAGGCCACCAGGGGGACAGCTGTGAGCCAAGAAGAGGAGGGACAGGAAGGGCCCCTCTGCTCCCTGAGGGCCCAGCATCCTGGCTCCCTGCCCAGGCTCCACCCACAGTCCCAGCAATGTCTGGAACCTTCTAGGACAGCCAGGTCCTGACCTACCAGCATGGGATTCCGACCTCTCTCCGGAACACAGGCCAGCAGTGGGATTTCCCCAATGCCTGGGCCCCCCTGCAGGATCTGGTCATCAGAGGTAGGCAAGCAGGCAGGGGATCTGTGCCAGGGTGGACCCCAGCTGCTCCGGGACTGGGGAGGTGACTGAAGGAATGGGGGACCCCTGGTCCTTTCTCTGGCTCCTCTGTTCTCTCTGCCCCGCAGCTAACACATCCTCCCCCCTGTCCAGTATAACCAGCCCTCCTCTCCCTCCAAACCTGGGCCCAGGATTGAGTACAGGGTGGCCTCTGGTTCAAGAGGCCACTCTGACCCACTCAAGAGGTCTCAGGACCCAGCCAGGCCTCATTCCCTCTGTGGGGACAGTAAGGCCCAGTCTGTTGTGCCAGGGAAGGGGGCTCTGGGGATTCAGATTCTGCTTGGGGTGGGGTCTAGGCTTGGCCAAGTCCTCTTCGCCTCGGACCCAGGAAGTGGCTTTCCAGCTGGCCCAGAATTGGATCCGAACCAACTTTGATGTCTACTCCCAAAAGTCAGCCATGTACGAGAAGGTGAGCAGGCAGGGGTGTTCTTTGTCCCTCACCCTCCTCCCCCAGGTGAGGTGGGGAAGTCAGGCTTGGCAGACCCTGGACTGTGCAACCAGGACAGTGGCGGCGCCCAGTGGCCACCGCCAGGCACTGCAGGGGCCAGAGCTTCAGGCCAGAGCATCTCCCAAGGGCTCCAAGGCTGGTTGCCTGGGGCTGGAGTGGTGGCTTGGGGACAGCTCCTGACCTACAGCTTGCCCTCTTCTCCCCAGTATGACATCAGCAATGGTGGACAGCCAGGTGGAGGAGGGGAGTATGAAGTTCAGGTGAGCGGGCCAGGGCTGAGCTGGCCAACACCTTACAACTCCTGGGCTCCACTGTCCACAAGAACCGACTTGACCCTCTGGGCCCCAATGTGCCTTGTCTGGGGGCCCACAGGGAGGACCTGACTGGTGCTCCTTGGTACCCCTGGGGATGGGCGGGACAGAGCTCCTGGGGTAGGGAATCCCACACCCTCAAAATAGGGGCTTGGGCTCCCCCAAGATCTGGCCCCACAGGCCTTGCCTCTCTCCAGGAGGGGTTTGGCTGGACCAATGGAATGGCCCTGATGCTCCTGGACCGCTATGGTGACCGGCTGACCTCGGGGACCCAGATGACTCCTCAGGTGCCCCCCTGCCTGGTGGCTGCCCTTATGTTCCACCTCCTGCTCAGCTTCCTGCCGTGGTGACCAGGGACTAGCAAGGTGGCCTCACCACCTGCCCCTGCCTGCTGCACTTCCTCCTCTGCCCCATCTCCCAGCCTGCTCTGTTCAGAGTGCAGGGGGCAGAGCAGTGGCCTGGAGGCCAGGTGGTGGGGCTGGGGCCCTTCTGGAACCCTTGATGGGGTGTTAATCCTGCAGGGTAAAGAAGACACCGCCCTGCCTCCCGTGTACCCCAGCCCCATGCCCCGCACAGCCTGTTCTTCCACACACTTACATAGTCCAAATGCTTTATTGTTCTGCTTCTTTGTAAATGCTTACCAATACTGAAAAACACCCAGCCCGGCCCAGGCCACAGGGACGCGGGGCTGGGGAAGAGGGCAGGGGAGGTGGGCTTAGTGTTAAGGCGGCAAAGGGCTGAGGCCAGACAGCTGGAGGCTGGTCCTCCACTCCCCTTTTCCATTATCCTTTGGAGGCTGAAGGGTGGGCAGTGGAGCTCAGGCCAGTCCCTCTGTGGCTCCCTCTTGCCCAGTCCTTCCCTCTGAGAGCTCGGAGCCACCCCCCCTTCCTGTCAGGAACTCAACCCTGTAGGACCCAGAGGACACCCTTTGGCGTCCTCTCCCAGGTGCTGGCTGTCCCTCTGGTCATGGATCCCCTGCATCATCCCTTCTGGCTCTAGGCAAGGCACGAGTGAAGGGAGAGGGCTGGCGTGGAGTGCCGCAGGCTGCTCGACTGGGGACTAGACACAGGCAGGGGGTGGGGAGGTGCTCAGTCCTTTCCCCCTGCATGACATGACCCCGCGCCTGGGCTGGAGAGATGATGGCGCGTACCCTCAGATGGCCCATCACTGAGCAGTGGGCTCAGCCATGGAGCTGCTGCAGTTAGTATGTAACCATGACAATGAAGCGATCACCATGGAGACCATGGTGATGGTTCTCCAACCAGGGAATGGGGCTGGAACCTCAAGGGTGACACTTGAAGTGTCTGTCCCTCAAGCAAATTAAAAACATAGAAACGAGGGAGACAGTGAGGCAGAGGGCGCTGGAGCAGTGTGCTGCCTGCGCTGCTGCCCCGCGGGGTGGCTCTGCTCGGCCCCAAGGCCCTGCAGGGCGGAGGCAAGAGGATCTTTGGCAGAATCTGGTACCATAATTAGTCCTTTACAAAGAGAAAACAGACTGGGGAGAGCAGGTCAGACTGAGCCTCTGTGGCAGTTCCTCCACGGTGTGGGCCGGCACCGGGCAGCATTCTGAACAGGAACTGCGAGTTCTGGGCTCCCAGGAGGCAGCAAGTCCCCTCCCACCTTCCTCTTCTGAGCCCAGAAACTCACAGGACTGAATCCCTACAGAGTACCACAAAGTCTTCTTGCACAAAGGCCCTGGCCGCTCCGCTACATCCTGCTCCTGTGAGGGCTGGCGCCCACTGTGCAGCTGCCCACAGGGGCCAGCAGAGCAGCAAGAGGCTGGCATGGGTCCTGGGGCCAGCCTGAGGGTCCCGGAGGCCACGGCAGTCAGTTCATAAACTGAGTGTAGCCCTCAGCCCCTGTGACGATGACATCCATCCAGATGCGCATGGCCTCTGCAGACGGGGCCACCATGTAGTACAGTCGGTCATGGGTCTTCACGCAAAAGGTGAGGGCTGGGTTCGGGCTCTGTCAAGGGAAGAGAGGAAGGGCTGAGGCAGGACTCGCCAGCCTGGAATATTCTCCTCACCTGCCTCCTGTCTGCCTTTCCCTCAGCCCCAGGAAACCCCAGAGCTGAAGGCTATGTCCGCACGCCCCAGGTGGAATGTTCCCCTTCTCACATCATGGCAGTCATGGGCTCTCTGTACCGGTTTTCTTTTTTTTTCTTTTTTTAGTACCAGGAATTGAATTGAACTCGGGGATACTCAACCACCGAGCCACATCCCCAGCCCTTTTTTGTATTTTATTTAGAGACAGGATCTCACTGAGTTGCTTAGCGCCTCGCCCTTGCTGAGGCTGACATTGAACTCATGATCCTCCTGCCTCAGCCTCCCAAGTCACAGGAATTACTGTTTGTTGGTCCCCCTCCAGTTTCAGAAGCGAGTATGAAAGAATAGATCACAAAAAGATACTCCAGTGGGGACCAGAATTTTTCAGCAAAAAAGAGGCAGGAAAGAGCTATCAGCAAGGTGCCACGAGGGGACCCAAAGAGCAGAGGTCAGGATAGAGCTGGCATGGGAGGAGCTGTTGAGAGAAAGGTAGCATGCAGTAGGGCTGCTGGTCCCCTGCCCCAGATACTTCTTGTTCCCTCCCAGATCTAGTCTGAGGCCCCTCGACCCCTTCTAGCTCCCCGCTCTGCACTGCCCGCCCCCGCCCCCCACAGCCCAACATCCTGCTGCCACCAGACTCAAGCCCACAGGGACTTCTTGCTCTCTCCTCCCTCAGGCCTGGGCAAGTTAGAGCGATGGAGGGGAGAGTCAAGGTCAAGACAGTGGACTCGGAGGTGTTAATTTATGTAGCTATGGTTACAGGCACATGGGGAGGGGTACCTCAGTCACCATAGTGAAGTGGAAAAACCTCTTCTGAGAAGGAAGAGGGAGAAAGGAAGAGAAAAGTGACAAAGAGAACAGGGACTCGGCCGGAGCCTCCACAGAGGGCAGGCTGGAGGCCTTGGCTCCCAGAGTCCAGCTGGCCCACCCTTCCCTGTGGCGGCCCCTGCTGCCCCCCTCTGGTGCTCCACCTCTGACCTTGGCTGCACTGCGCAGGTGGTCATAGTACACTTCCTCGATGGCCTGGAAGTAGATGACCCCCTTCAGCTTCGTCTCATGCTTGTCTGCAAAGGGAATAAGGTCCAGGTGAGGAGGCCCACCATCCTTCAGGACGCGGGCCTGAACTTCCCCGTCTGGGAAACGGGGTGATGGTCCTAGCCTCCTGGACGCCGAAACAGTGCTCAGAAAGGGAGCCCCGAAGACATGGATAATGCTCAGCACATAATTAGAGAAATGCAAAGTAGAACTCTAGAGACAGGCCTCTGCTCACCTGTCAGAATGGCAAAAGCATACAAAAAAAACACACACATCACACTTTTGGCAAGGCTATGGAGAAAGAGGCAGTTTAATAAACGAAAATGGGAATACAAACTAGTAAAACACTTTTGGACAATTTTCTCATGTGTATCAAAATTAGAAAGTCCAGGCAAGTAGGACATGCCTGTAATCCCAACTACTTTGAGGCGAAGGCAAGAGGATCATAAGTTTGAGGCCAGCCTCAACAACTCAGCAAGACCCTAAGTGACTTAGCAATGCCCTATCTCAACAGAAAAAAATATAAAGGGCTGGGGATGTGGCTCAGTGGTTAAGTGTCCCTGGGTTCAATTCAGGGGTATTCTACCACTGCAAAAAAAGAAAAGAAAAAATTTAAGCTGATAAATACGCCCCCACCCAGTACAGGGAGCCATTTGAGTTGAACCCAGAAGTGCTCTGCCACTGATCTACCTCCCCAGCCCTTTTTACTTCTACTTTTTAAATAAATGAGACAGGGTCATTAAATCATCCAGGTTGGCCTGGAACTTGTGATCTTCTTTCTTCAGCCTCCAAAGTCACTGGAATCAACAGGTGTGAACACCCCACAAGGTTTCCGTCTAAACATTTTCCTGGTTGGTTGTTTATTTGAGTATTGGGGCCAGAACCCAGGCCTCGGGCATGCTAAGCAAGTGCTCCTAGGGATGCTTAACCACTGAACTCCATCTCCAGCCCTTTTTATTTTTTATTTTGAGAAAGGTTTTCAACAAATTGCTTAGGGCAGTGCTAAGTTGCTGAGGCTGGCCCCATATTTGCAGTCCTTCTGCCTCAACTTCCCAAGTTGCTGGGATTACAGGCATGTACCACGGCACCTGGCCTATATTTTGATTCTTGAACCATAAAGATACATTTACTTCATTTTAAAACAGAAAGAAGGCACAACACAGATCCCTGAAGTGCTCCATAGCACACAGCATCCAGAGGTCAGGGGTGGCAGGAAGTGGGAGCATGGCCATTGGACGTAAGAGCAACAGGAAGGGAGAACTCAGGGCCTGGGCCGTCTTTGTGTGGCAAACACTGCGCCATCGCTACAACCGATGCCCTCAACCACGAGCCTGTGTCCTGCAGGAGAGGTCACGCCAATCTCTACCTCAAAGGTGAGAGCCGCAGTAAGCCCCTCCCCATGGGCTCCTTGGGTAACTTTAAGCCCGAGTCGTGGCCCACCTGCGCCCATGTCATGGCCGCACTGCCTTCTTGCTCCAGCCTCCTAATGTGCCTGCCCCATCCTCCACCACTCTTCTTCCAAGAAAATCTAAGCCTGCCGCTTCAGCCAGCCGCCTCCTCAGCTTGGCAAAGCCCTCTCACAGACTGGTGCCAATGCGACCCGCCAGCTTGTCTCACAACCTCCCCTGCAAGGCCAAGTTCTGTGGAGCTGGCCCAGCTTCTCACTATTCCCTTAACAGCACACGGAAATGGCCTCCTGCCCATTCCCTTGGCAAACTCCTATGTGATCTTCAAGACCCATTGCATGTGTGACCACTATGATGCACACTCCACATAGAATCTACTAAGCTGAACTGGACCTTCCTCCATTCGTGAATCCGCCTCGCTAACACCAATAGGTTCCAGGCCCACAGCAGGCACTCAATCATTGTGGAGTGAATGAGCCCTAGGCCCTGGTGTCCGGAGGGAATTCAGAAATTCCTCTCCTAGGAAACTGTGGCACAATGGGGAGAAGGCACAGACAGCCTGTTCATTGGCAGGCGTAGCTGGGGAGTCCACGTGCACCTACGCATCCTGGGTTGCCAAGAGTATTAACGTGAGAACACACACAAAGTATGCGGCGTGGTGTCTGGCACATATTGCACATCTGTCACTGCATCATTATACCCTGGGCTGATGTCACACGGCAGACAGACCCTGGATCATGGCAGGAGCTCAGAGGAGGGTGGGAACCTCTGCAGTAAGGTAGAGCCAGGGAGGCTTTGCAGAGGCAGTGTCTGACCTGATCTAGTCCAGGGGCTTCCAGCAAGAGGCAGGAGGTGGTGTAGGCTGAACAGGCCAGGCCCCTCCAGTCGGATCCAGCCCCACGCCCATCTCCATCTCTTCCTCGGGACAAGGACCCTGGCTCCAGGCCTGGCCAATAGCTAGGTTCCCATTATCTCCTATTCCTTCCTTCACTGGAAATAGTAACACCCTCTGCCTCTACTTCCTTACCACCCACCTATCCTTGATCTTGTGCAATCTGGCTCCTGCCCCAAGCACAGCAGAAACATTTCTCTCCACAAGCTCCAGTCCCTGAGTCTAATGGCCTTCGGGCCACATCATTCTTGGCTTTTCGTGCAGCATTCAGTAATGCTGGTGACACCCCCAGCTTCCAAATGCCTGCCCCTTTGGCTGGCTTCCTTCCCTGTATTCACTGCCTGCCTGAACTCGGTCCCCTTTTATTTCAAAAACAGTAAGGAAGGTCACATATGCCAAGAGCCAGCCCTGTGGCACCTGACATATGGTGGCACTGGTTTCCTGCTGCCTGCCTCTCCTGTCTCTGCTGGTCTCTCCCCCTTTCCCAAGCAGACGGAGGCCTGCCCTGGATACAGCTCTCTCTCTTTCCTCTGCTCTACCTTGCAGCAGCTGTGAGACCCAGGGAAATCTACCTAACTTCTTTGGGCCTCAATTTCCTTCTTTGTAAAATGGGTGTAAACCTATGCTTTTCTTGTAGGCTTGTTACAAAAATTAAATCACTAAATCAATGCATAGAGAGTGCTTAGCCCAGCTCCTGGCTCATACAAGTACCTGATAAACAGGATCTGTTATATTGTAGTTGTTATTATTATCAGTCCAACAAATTCAGCTATCACTCTGCCTCTAATACTTTTTCCACACCTAGAAGTCTCGGAGGACCACAACATCAATAGGCCAAACCTGGAGCTCATCTCCCCAGCTGTGTTTCTCTCTCTCCCAAAAAAGTCGCTCTACCTTCTCAGCCCAGGTAGAAAGGTGGGGACACCTGTGCCTCTTCGTCTCTACACCTAGAGCCCAGGAAGGTCAGGGAAGGCTTCTTGGGGTATGTGTGTGGGGGGGTGATACTTGATAAGGGACCAGGTTAGAGGAAGAAGTGGGACACTCCACGTCTGGGCTTCCATGATATCAAATCCTGCAGCCTTTCCCCACTTCCAGGTTTCTAGTGGGATTGCTCTTCCTGGATTTGTGGCAGTGGGACTGTGTGACTCACTGAAAGGTCCCACCCATGGCTTTTGAACAGTTATGATGTGTGTCACTTCTAAGCTGGGGTATTTAATGCCAGTGCAAGGCCCATTTAAGTATCTCTTTTTCCTCTGTCACTGTGGCCAGCAATGGTCTAGAAAGACATATTCTAAAGCAAAGACAACCCACAATGTACACCACATACATACTGGGAATAAAAAGAAAGACTGAAATTCTGAGCTACCAGAATTTGAGAACTGGTTGTTACTACAGCTTATCCTTGCTTAACCTGACTAGGATATACTCCAAGAGGTAAAAGTCCAAAAGGAGTTCCAGGGATAGAAACTACACCAGAGACAGAAGAAACGGAGTTGAGGGAGCAGTGGGGGCCAGTTGTCTATCCCTGGACTATCCTGAGTGCCCCTTGGCACTGCTTAACTGCTTATCTTGGATAATTTCTAAGGGAACTTATCCAAAAGGGCATCCTCAGCCCACCCTGTGCACCTGCATTGTGTGGGGTGTCCCCTATCAGCAAACCCACTGTGTTTTGTTTTAATCTTTGTTCAGTGTTTGCCTTCATGATAGTGAGTTCCAAGGGACAGAGCTGTGGCCACTTTGCTTATCATCAGAACTTACAGTGGTACCTAGAATTTGTCAGATGCTCAGTAACACTGAGCGAATGAATGAATGAACGAATAACTAAATGGAGGTGAACCACGTAGACTCCATACACTTTTAGGAAGGGAAGGTCAGTTGTCCTGGGTGTTAAATCCCAGGGGTTCCAGTTCTGGGGGGCCCCAGGTGGTACTCACCCACATAGTAGGAAAGGGTGCGCTTGAGCCGGTCAAAGACAAACCAGCGCTTCTTCCAGGATTTAATCTTTCCACCCATCTTGACCAAGTAGCCACGGCAGACCTGGTGGGAAGCAGGAGTAAGAAAGGACCCAAAGCGCAGCCCCTAAATCCTTCTCCCTGAGCAGCCTCCATAAGTATGTGCTGCCCCCTGCGCCTGTATCCCCAGGGGCTGTTCCCAGTATTTCTTCAGGCCCCAACCTCTCATTAGGTCAGGAAAGGAATAGAGGCCACTATCCCAAGGCCCTAGGAATGCCTCTGATCACAGGACCCTGTCCCCAGTAGTCTGGGGCCACATCAGCCTAGTACCTTACTGCTGAGCACCACATGCAAGCAGGTATCCACACCATGGCCTGATGACTCGATGTGGGTCTTCAGGTCAAAGTCCTCCTTCCGGATAGGCAGGTAGCGGGTCAGGGGCCGTGCCTGGAGCAGGGGGCAGAGTCAGCATTCTCTTCTCTTTCCCCATCATTCCCTTGTCCTGGTCCCATGGCTTCTCCTGCATCCCCTACAACCTGGCACTCTCTCCCAACCCTCACTCTGTCCCTCAGGTTTCACAGGCCTGATGGCAAAAGTGAAGACTTACACGCTAACTTTACTTAGGCCTGAGCAAAATGCCAAATGAATCCTTGCCTCAGTTTCCCCACCTAGGACCAAGACAGTCATCCTCACCTGGCTCCTGCCCCTCCTTCCTCCCCCCTCCTGGGCTGAACAAAAGACCTGATGTGAACATCCTCCAAGAAAAGAAGTCCAATAAGAAATCTGCTCTCTAGAGCCGGGGTGTAACTTGGTGGTGGTATGTGCAAGGCCATGGTCTAATCCCCAGAAATGTAAAAAACAATAAAGCTGGGCATGATGGCACACACCCGTAATGCCATTGACTCGAGAGGCTGAGACAGGAGGATTGCAAGTTCAAAGCCAGCTAAGCAACTTAGTGAGGCCCTGTCTCAAAAAATGAAAAGGGTTGGCGACGTGGTAAAGCCCCTGGATTCAATCCTTAGAACCCCTAAAAGTAAATAAATAGATAAAATAAATCTGCTCTCCAAATTCAAGTCTTATTCCCATCTGGGCCTCACTATCCTTACATGTAAAAGGACTAGATGATCACTAAGGCCTCCTCCACTTCCCACACTAACTAGAATCCTCAGTCAAGTGGAATGTTTTTTTACTCTTCCTTTCCTCGTAGAATCTTAAAACAGCAGGAAAAGGAAAATCACAAATTAGTTAAAGAAACACAGAACATACAACTTCTAGAAGGAACCCCAAAGATGGACTGACTCTAGCCCCCCTCTGATACCAGACACTGGCATCCCCTACAGCATGACTGAGCCACAGAACAGGGACTGGAAGAGACCGTCACCAACTGAGGCAGGAAAAGAGAATTAGGCATTTGACAAAGATTCTGAGCTGAGCACAGTGTAATCCCAGCGACTCGGGAGGCTGAGACAGGAGGATCACAAGTTCAAGGCCAGCCTCAGCAATTTAGCAAGATCCTGTCTCAAAACAAAAAATAAAATAAAAAAGGAGCTGGGGTTGTGGCTGAGTGGCAACGCACCCCAGGATTCAATCCCCAGTACCAAAAAGAAAGAAAAAAGATTCTGACAACAGAGGTGAACTGACCGAGTTCCTGATTGTTTCTTAATTCCCAAACCCACCCAGGTGATTTGTCCTTTAGCACTTACGTTGTTGCACTGCAGAAAACAGGTGACTGCTTGTCACCACTGTGGGGAGATCCCAGAGAACCCCCACCTGGGGAGGCCTGCAGAGAACCCATCAGAAGGGACGGCTCATCTGGATCCTACAGGTCCTCACAGGGCCAGGGGTTGGGAGCAGGGACACAGGTAGATGCCCTTTCCCAGCCCCATTTCTCCTTCTCCTGGCCCGAGTTTCCTGTGGAAGGGCTGGCTCGGGGCAAGGAGGGAATCTCTGTCCGAGGAGAAGCTATGGCCAGGCTCTTGGAGTTGTGAACCCAAAGTCAGAGTGAGGTCATCTACCAACAAGGGATGGAGTGGAAAGATCCCATGCGGCTAGGGTCAGGACACCGTGGGGTGCCATAGGCAAGACAGGCAGCAGGACAAGTGGGTGAGAGCGGGCAGCACAAATTCACAGAGTGGATGGGGGGCCAGAGAGAAGCCAAGGACATCACACTGAATCTTGACTCTCAGCTCCCATGTCTGAGAGGCCTGTCCAGACCCTCTTCTCTGACCCCAAGGCTCTGTAGGTGCCCTGCCACTACCTCACAACTCACCCACCACCAACACACACACACACACACACACACACACACACACACACACACGGACTTAAAAAGCTCCAGTGGGTCTGTTTTGGAGGACCAACGGCACTCTTTCGGGAGAACAAGTTTGACAGCCCACCAGAGGACATCCATCCTCCTCTTCAGCCTGCACCATCTATCTGACCATGGCCCTACCCCAGCACCCACTCACCTGAGAAAACTGTTTCTCCCGCATCTTGACCTCCTTCTCCACCAGCTGCTGCCTCCGAGCGCTCTCACTCTGCAGCCTCCGTTCTACCTGTTCCCGCCTCCGCCGCTCCTCCTCCAGGGCCTGCCTGCGCAGCTCCATCTCCCTCTCCTGTCCCCAAGGTCAGGGGTCAGTTCCCAAGGAAGCCCTCTGTGTCCCCTGCTGGTCCTCCTCAGGCCTGCACAGGGCTACAGGAGGCCTGGGACAGTGGCCAGGGCAGAGGAGGCACCGTCCTCAAAGTTCACCTTCTCTGAAAGCCCTGCTGGCTAAGGATAAGCCCTTTAAAGTATGACTGTCCCGGCTTCCAATGCTGGTTCTGCCAACATTATTACCCTCACAGAATCATTAAACTCTCTAAGCCTCAATTGCCTCATCTGGAAAATGGGTTTAAGAATACCTATACCTGTCAAGCACAGAGGCATACACCTCAAATCCCAGCAGTTCAGGAGGCTGAGGCAGGAGGACTCCAAATTCAAAGCCAGCCTCAGCAACTTAGCAAGGCCCTAAGCAACTTAGCAAGACCCTGTCTCAAAAAATAAAAAGGGTTGGGGATATGGCTCAGTGGTTAAGCACCCCTGGTTCAATCCCTGGTATCAAAAAAGGGGGCATGGGGTGGATTAAAGAATGCCTACTCCTAGAATTGTAATAAAAATTAAATGAGATCATTTATATAAATGCCCATCACTGATCCCAGAAGTAAAGTAGCACTCAATAAATAAATGGAGCTCTTAATACTTTATCTGAATTCCTAGAACATGAATTATTTGACAACTTTTTTTGACAGCTAGTGTATTCAGTGGTCTTTCCCTTATCACTGATTTAAGGCCCTTGGAAACTTCAAATTATTTTTTTGTGTAGTTAATATTTGTTGTTGAACCTTAAACTTCATGGGGAAAAAATATGATAGGACACCAAGTTCACAAAGAACTTATATAAACCATCCCAAAAGGTATCAGGGTCAATAAAACAATTCCTAAATACGGAGCATGTCTCAATACTTTATATGTCTTAACCAACGCTAAAAACTTTGCCATTTGCAATTTCTTCCCAGCTTGAAACTCAGCAGAACATCTTTCCCTCTCCATTCACCAAGAGATGCTTTGTTCTACTTTGATGTAAATAAGACTGAGAGGCACTCTATTCTGGTCTGCCATCTAAATGTTTAGAGTCTTTTAAAACAAACAAACGAAAATCTCTAGCTGCTGACTCTCACTCTCATCTCAAAAGATGCAGAGCAAAAGAAAACAAAATATTTTTAAAGTAAGCCAAGAGTGGTGGCTTGAGCCTACAAGTTCAATGAGATCACCTGGGCAACATAGCATGATCCATTAAAATAAATAAATAAATGAAAATAAAGATGCGGAGTGCCTGGTCAGCCTCTGCAGACATTCTGCTGAACTTCTCTCCCAGGCACAGCTTCCCTCTGCCTTTTAGTGGCCCAGGATAAACCACTAGTCCCTCTTTTCTGAGTCCCAGCTCCAAGCACACATGAAGAAGATGGGACTTTTCCAGAGCTCCCCAGCCAACACCTCTGCTCTGGCTTGGACAACTGCCTCCTCTCCCATCCTGGGCCTCAACCCCCAGTTCCTGATTTTCCTAACCAACCCCAAGAGAAATGACCTTCTAGACAGAAATCAAACTTCCCATGGTTCCCAAAACTCCACAGAAGGAAGCAATCAGACTGGAAGTTCCCATTCAAGAAATGCCTGCTGGCCGGGGTCGCTGTGCTGCCTTCCCCGTGCTGAAGAGCTGTGAAGCTACATCCTGGACAAACCTCCTGTGCCCATTTGAGGAACACAGACTTTTTAAATACTCTATTCCCAAGGGAACAATGGGCAGTTAATGGGGTGAAAGGGCTTGGAACAGAGCACAGGCCCTTGGCAGGCGGAGGGCAGCTCTGGGCCCCACTGCCTTCTGCCTCTTGGCCCAAGTTAGCCTCACCCTGGACTCCATGAGCCGGCTCTTCTCTGCATGAGCTTCTTTTAGCATCTTCTCCATCTCCTCAATCTTGCCCGCATCCAGACCACTGGCACTGGGAGGGAGAGGAAGAGAGGCTGCATCAATGAGCCAAGGGGACATGGCGGAGGTGGTGGGCCTGGCGCAGAGGTGGTGGGCCTGGCGCGGAGGTACCTGGACATGTTGTCAGGAGAGCAGGCCGAGTTGCCCCCAGTGGAGATGCTGGTCTCCATGCTGTCCGAGCTCTCCAGGCTCAGTGTGTCATAGGCGTGTTCACCCTCGTCACCACGCTCCCGCCCGGCTGGCAGGTGGTGTAGGATGGAGTGGTGCATGAGTGGGGGGTAGCCCGAGGGGCCTGCCTGGAAGGGCACTGCCCCATGCAGGGCATCCCACTGGCACTGCGCCTCTGCCGCCGCTTTCTGCTTCAGCTCAGCCAGCCGCCGCCGCTGCTCCTCGATCACCTGCTGCCCTGCAGGAGAGACAGGTGGGAGTCACAGTGGGCTCCCCACCCAACCAGGAGAGGAGATACTAGCATCATCACAAATCATCACAGACAGAGGGAGGAAGCGAGGAGGTTAACACAGGGCAGCCCTCTCCCAGCACCGGCTTCCCTGAAGCCCCAACAGCTCCAGACCAGCAACCCTGCCCAGGCTTCGCTGCCCGCACAACTGGCCACAGCGCATAGTCTGGTTTCAGCATCCTTTCAGCATCCCGAGACCACACAGGCCATGAAACTTGTCCAGGTGGTACCCTGGCAGCATGACGGCCAGCTGGCTGCAGCTTTCAACCAAGGCCTGAACAGGGGAGCAGGACACATGCACCCACTGCCTGCTAGGGGAGGAAGGAGATGCGGAAGCCATAGGAGCATCGGGTTGCCAATGCAGTCCCCTGCAACGCAGAAGCAAGAGCAACAAGAGCAGGACAGAAGGCACCAGAGACAAGGAGCAGAGCTGAGGGCAGCCTGGGTGAGCTGGAGGGGCAAGGCCAGCGGGCACCCAGACCAGCTCGGCCTGGGAGCCTGCCTGCAGGCAGCAGGGCCCTGGGCAGGACACATCATGCTGATGCTGGGGCAGGGGATGCCTGGCCAAAGCAATGCCCTCAGTGACCAACGCTCTACCTGCTGGGTCGTCAGTTGGGAGGGGCTCGGCAGGAAGCAACTCGACTGATGTGGGGAACCCCAGGCAGAGGGTACGGAAGAGAGACACAGGGGGTGAGAGGAGAGAGAGGCACAGACATGGGCTTTTCAAAACAACCAAAATGCAAACGAGCAACAGGGACTCCTGGGTCCCGGGAGCCAATGTCTCAGGGAACCATTCTGGAGGTCATCCAATCCATCCCCCTGCCTCCAGACAGGGCAATGTCTAGACCTACTTAGGTCAACAAACACTTCCCTTATTGGCTGGACTCTCTAGGAGAGAACATGTCACAACCCCCTAGACCTTTTGTCCCCTGTTCTAGAGTCTTCTTAATATCCAGTGATGCTCTTCCTTAGGCACCTAATCAAAATCCTTTCTGCTATTGTCCAGAACCCAGTGAAGGAAAAACAGCCTGTGAAATGTGGGGAGAGGGGTCCCCCAGGGAGCAGTGGGGCTGGCACCATGGCCACTCACCCTTCTGCTGCAGAGCCAGTTGGCGCTTGGTCTCAATGTCCTGCAATGTGGCTGCCAGGTTGCGGGGAAGGCTGCCAGTGCCATTCTGGGTGAGCAGAGCACTCTACAGAGGGAACAGAGGGCCGTCACGGGGGCTCAGCACCCCACCTCACCCCCAAGGCCTGCATGGGTGGTCTTGGCCTCTTCCCAACATGGCAGTCTCCATTTTCCCATCACCCTGTCCTCAGACCTTTGGAGAAGGGCTACGGCCCAGAGTAGCCACGCTGAGCTGTGAGGATGAGGAGGAAGAGCCAGAAGAGGAGGGGAGGGGGCCACTGCGAGTCCGCGGCAGGGGACTGGTGGCCTCACCATCCATCTTGGAACGGTAAACCTGGAGGAAAAAGACACTGCTCTGTGACCTCGGGGTCCCCCACTGGTCACACCCCTTTGTAACCTAGGCAGGCTGTGATCTCAGGTATTGCCTGGCACCGGACCTCTGAGACCTTCTGGCTCCAGCTAACAAGAGCTTGAGCTTCCTCAGCCAGGCCAGGAGGGAGAGGCTCTCTGCAGATGCCAGGCCTCCTTCACACACCATTTCTTCCAAGGCCAATCCTTGACTCAACCCTGGGTCTGAGAAAGGAACTGTAAATTGACCCATGCAAGGAGTCCATGTCAGTCAGGCAGATCTGCATAGGACACCAACTGGAGACCAGTGTCCTTCCAGTCCTAGCTCTGCACTAACAGGCTGTGTGACCTCAGGCCATGCACCTCTGGACTCCGGGCCTTGGCTTCCTTATCTGCAAAAGGAAGGGGCAGCTCTAGACTAAATAACTGCCAAGCTCTCTTGCAACACTAACACAGAGAATATGATCTTTGGAGTCAAGAGACCTGACTCTCTGCAACTTTCCAGCCGTGTCACCTTGGCAAGAACACTCATCTTCTCCATGCCCCAGTGTTTGATCCGTAAAATGAGAGTTAACATCATCTCAAAGGTGAGAAGTGAGAGTTAACAACACCTCAAAGGCCTGTGGGGGTAATTAAATGAATGAGACCATGTCAGAGTCTCAAGGCAGCTGGACACAGGAGAGGTACCACAGATGTTCTATGAACCAACTTCTCAAAAGGAACACGGAGCCAAATATGGATTACATATGCCAACACATGTAATCCTAGCAACTCAGGGGGCTGAGGCAGGAGGTTTGCAAGTTCAAGGCCAGCCTCAGTAACTCAGTGAGGCCCTAAGGATTTAGAGAGACCCTGACTTAAAACATTAAAAAAAAGGGTTGGGAATGTGGCTCAGTGGTTAAGTGTCCCTGTGTTCAATCCCCAGGTCATAGCCTTAGAGGTACAGTGCCTTCACTCAAGAATGAATACTGAATGGTGGAATCTCAGGCAGGGCAGCAGGTGGTAGGGCAAAGCTTAGGGAGGAGACTGCCTATCACCCTGCCCCATGGTCACCAGCTTGCTGCAGGCTCAGGAAGGCCCTGCCCTCTGTGGCAACTCTAAGGAGGCTGGGGCATGTGTCTGGGGATGCAACTTCAGAAGGGGATGTCCCCTTCTTTTCTGTCCCTAAGTGTCACTCCTGAGAAATCAGGAGAACAAAATACTGACTGTTCTCCAAGGATACACTGGTTCTAGCTGCAATAGGCCCAAGAGTGTGTCAGGCCCCCATACTGGGAGGAAAGCTCTGGGGAGAAGCCCCTTCCACCCCCTTCCATCATGTCACCCTAGGACTTAGGAGGCTCATCCTCCAGCTGTCCTAAACACCAAGATAGCTGCCCACAGAGAGTCCCTCATTGCTCTCTCAGGGCCCAGAGGCCCTCCTTGCCATGCTGGGATGGCCCACTATCCAGAATACACTGTGTAGCTGAGAGATTAGCAGGAGGACTCAGTGTAGACAGGAGCAAGACTTGGAAGACTAGATGGTGAGGAGGTTACCTGCAGTTGACGGGAAGCTTTGGCGGGCAGAGGCGGGGGGGAGGAGCGAGGGGAGGCTGCAGTGGGACCAGTCCCCAACCCGGCCATCAGCTCCTGGTACCACTGCTCTAAGTCTACAGCAGGGAGCAGCAGCTTCTCCATCTGAAGGGGCAAGTGGAGGGTGGGGATGAAGAGGAAGGGCCCGGACAGGAGGGGAAAGGTGATGGGAAGAAGAGGGTGCAGGGAGGAGAGGATGGGAAGGAGGATAAAGGAGGGTCAGGAGGGAGAGATGGACAGGGAGGTGAGGGAAGAAAGGAAGGGAGGGAGGGAGAAAGGAGAGCATAAAGAAAAGGAAGAGAAAAACAGTGAGATGACAGTTGGCTTTAAAAGGGCAAAGAGAAACAGGGGACAGCTCCCAGAACACAGACCCTCACCTGCCAGCCAGCTAGCCAGCCAGCCCTCAGGCACCGTGCAAGCACTCCCCTAGGGCCAGCCCAGGGCCAAGGCCGGCAAACAAGGGTGGCACACACACAGCCAGCCAGCCAGCTATGGTGGGGCAGCAAGAACACACAGACCACCGACCTTGGGTGAAGGCGTGATGGAAGCGAAGGAGGAGGGCAGCGCGGGAGGAAGGCAGGTGGCGGGAACCAGGTCCCGAGAGGCAGAGGCCCAGGGAGGCAGGCCCGGCGCGGGGGCTGGGGGTGTGGGTGAGGTGCCCCACAGCACCTTTAGCTGCTCAAGCGTCACGTACTTGGGGGAAGGCCAGATGCAGAAGGGAACATAAGAGGTTAATGGGACTGGAACCCAAGAGACGCCCTTCCCACAGGGGAGGGAAAGGGAGGAAGCACAGAGCAGAGTCCAGCCCAGGACGGCCAGAGTCCCTGGGCAGGATGCCTTCCCAGAGCAGAAGGCCCGCTCCTCTTGGGGCCATCAGGAGCTGAGGACAGCTCCCTAGGCTCAAGGGAGAAAGGGAACCAGTCTTGACCCTGCTGTGCCAACGTCCTTCTCCCTTCTTGCTGAAGACAGACCCTGCTGTTCCTCCACCCCCACCCAGGCCCAAGGGGAAATGGAGGGCATCCACAAGGAGGCTCTTGGGCACAGATGGGCACACTCGGTGGCTGGTACCTCACTGTCAGGCAGGGGCTGTGTGAGCACGCTGGCGGAGGTGGCAGAAGCATAAGGGTCCAAGCGGAAGCACAGCTGGAAAACCTCTGCCAGGCTCACATACTCCTAGGATGCCCAAGGGGGCGAGGGGGGTGGGCAGAAAAAAGGTTAACAGGGTTGAACCAGGTCTCTAGCATCCCACGTTCCATGCCAGGCACAGAGCCATCACTCCATGTCAAAACAGAGCCCAGAGCAGGAGTAGGATGCTCACGGTAGCCACCGAGGGCTTTGAAAGTGAAGAAACTTGGAGAGGCCTGACTGCTGAAGGCTCCTCCTGACCTCTACTTTGGAGACCAAACTGGCATTCAGTCACTGTCTCCAGAATACCCTCAAGGCCCATCCCTGAGTCCTGGCTAAGGCAGGTGAATAAGCTCAGAGAAGATCTTCCAAAAGCCCACAAGGAGCAGCACCCAGTACCTAGAAACCCTACTCATCTTAACCGCTGAGCATCCCCAGTAGGGCACACACATGGCAGCATCGAACACAGGGCACACTGTTCCCCAGGGCCCCTCACACCACATTCACCAGGGCAGAATTGGAAAAGAGCGAGTAAGTGGAGACCCCACTAGGGCCTCAGAAGGCAACCTCTGAAAAAGAGCAACTAAAAGCCCTGGCAGGAATATGGGCCCACTGCCTAGGGTAAGTACTTGCAAAGATGTTGGCACACTTGACTCTGAGTTGGGGGACAAGGACAGTCATACTTAGAACCTGAGCTTATCTATGTGCTGGAGGCACAGCAGGCACCCACAATATATGCTGGATCAAAGCATAGATTCCTTGGCCTGCCCTATGCAGGGCACCCACGCAGGATGAGCTCCACAGCCAGACTGTCCTCTGGGGTAACTTAAAGGGAAAATGAGCCAGAGTGTCCAGTGTATTGTGAAAATTGATGAGTGGCATGCAGAATACATGCAAATTTAATATGCAAATCAATGTTCTCATTTTGCAAAGGCTGATCAGGCACTCTGTGACGACAAAATGGCACACTCACACAAACTCCCACACTCTGCCCAGCGAAAGGATAGTCATCACACGCCCTTCAGCTGGGCCCTAGGGAGGAGCTGTAGGCAGGAGCTCAGTGGGCACGCAGACAAGGCAGCGGGCAAAGAAGAGCAGGCAGTTAGCTGCAATTACCTCTTGTGCTTTGGGGCAGAGTGGAGTGGAAGCAGACGGGGTGAAGGAGACAGAGGGGACCCCAGCCTGAGAAGACCCCGAGAATGGGCCCAGAGCCTTGGTCCCCAGCCCCATCTCTGAGGATTCGGAGATGAGCAGCTGAGCCTATAGGGAGGGTACATGGTGAGGGGCTCAGCCCAGTCAGCCCACTCAGGCCTAAACTGCTTGTGCAATGAAAGAGATAGGAAGGCTGGAGAGAGGTCAGGAAACCTATCCTAGGTGTACTTCACACACAGCATGTACAGATGGGGAAAGAACTGCTTGAGGGGCCTCAATGCCCACTTCTGAGATGAAAGCTTGTCTCCAGACTATAGCCTAGGGAACCCCAGCATCAGGACCCCTTGATCCCTACCCTGCCCCTTGAGATAAGTCCACACAGCCCCGTACCCCACCAAACCTCTGAGCTGTCCACCAGGCCCCTCACAAAAATTCAGCCCCCAAAATGATGAGATTGATGACTCCCGAAAGCAACTAACAGGAAGCAAGTTGGTGGCCACAGAGAGCCAATCCCAGACCTCAGGGAACTCCTCAAATCTCTCCATTCAGGAAGATATCATTGGGGTGAAGGTGGCACATGTTGCTCCAGGCCTCCCAGGACCCCTCCCTTGACCAGAAGCTAGGAGCTGACCCAACAATGTTACCTCTTTGAGGGTCGAGGTGGTCTTCGGGAAAGGCCTGCCCCCCGTGAGTGAGTGGTACCTTCTTTCCAGCACAGTCAGTTTCTCCTTTTCCTGTGAGCCCCAAGTGGCAGAGTCAGAGGAAAGAGGGGGCAAGGGTGATAGAGGGGGGGACTCTGTGACCGGGGCTCCATGCTGGCAAAGGTCCACCCCAGCCCTCTGTGCTCCCTGCACTCACCCTACTCCCAAGCCCCACCCAACCCAAGGAGCTACCTTCTGCAGCAGCTGCAGGGATGCATTCTTGTCCCGGGCCAGGCGCTCCGACTCCTGCACAGCCTGGGCCCGGATCTGCCCAGCTTGACTGTCCAGGACGGCCAGGCGCTCCTAAGGAGATGGGGTGATTAGTCAGGCCCTGGGGAGATGGGGCTGAGCCCAAGGTGAGGAATGGCTGACTCTCTCCTGCCCAGAGACCCCAGGCTCCAATGAAGGGAATCAACCACCTCTTCGCCTTGGCCTTGACTCAACCCAGGAAGACCTGGCTGCCATGGCCAGCTCCATCTCTGCTCCTCCCTCCCTCAACCAGTGACACTTTGCCACCAGGCATTACCACCAGAACCCAGATCCCCAAATCTCCCTTCCCTCACCCCATAGCCAATGGCTCCTGAAGCCTAGAGACACTGAATAGCTCCCTGCCTCATGCACCCACAGCCACCACCCAGCTGGGTCCTCTCACTAACCTCCTGCTTCCACTCTCAAATTTCTGATATACTCTACATTCACAAAATGTCTTCCTAAAAGGTCTCTGGCTTTATCTGAGTTTTCTAATCTTTCTAAAAAGAATATATATTACTTGAATTCTTTTCTTTTTTAATCCACAACTAAGGTCATACTACCTCTTTCCTCAAAATCTTACAGTGGTTTCTCATTACCCATAGGCTACAGCACAAACTCCTTACCTGGCAACCAGTCCCACCCTTTGCAGTTTCCTGCCTGCTTGGCCCTCTGTACCCCTAGCTGGGCATGCTGTATACCCAGCTCTGCGCCTCTGGACTCAGGCCTTCCTCAGTCCAAAAGGGCTATCTGGGGTTTGTCCACTCATCCTGAGTCTCCTCATCCTCCCAGAACAAATGCTACCCCACCACAAGCCTTCCTTGATCACCAATTTCTTTGCTCCCTTCTCTGTGCTCATATGATTCCACCTCACTGCCCTTCTTATCCTATTGCTATTTGTGAATACATCTGTCTCCACCACCAGCCCTGGCTAACTATAAGATCCAAGGGCAGGACCAGTGTCTTTTCCATCTCTATAACCCCAACAGGGCTTAGCACAGTGCCTCACTCAACAATCATGTGCTGAAAGGAAATAAAAAGACACTAGTGAGGGGGAAGCATGAGGGCTAGGGACAATGGGCTGGGTTATTCCCAGGAGGGTTTTCTGGAAGAGAAGGTCTTAAAGCATCTTCAGAGCAACACATGGGAGGGGAAGGCATGACTCCCTAACCTGGAGTCATCTCAAGTCAGTGCTGCAGCAGGCCAGGCAGACCTTCAGCAGGAGTGCCATTTACCAAAAATCTAGTAGGAGCCAGGAACTCTGCTAAATGTTACCTCATTTTAATCTTATGAGGCAAGTGTTCTTATGCTCATTTCATAAGTGAAAACAGACATATTTAGGAGCAAACATCGTTTAGTTAGTAAGTGGTATAGCTAGAACCAGATCTGTTGGATTCCAAGGCCAGTGCTTTCAACCGCTCTGAACCAGAGTGGACAGAGAAGCACAGAGCTCCAGGGCAGACACAGCCTGGGGTGAGACACTGGGAGCCCAGGATGAAGATTAGGCAAGGCTCACCAGGAGGAGCATGGGGAAGAATGTGACCCCCAGGGTCTCAATGGTTGAGGACACCCAGAGGCCATGGTGGGCGTGGAGAGGAATGAAGTAGAGCCCACTACCACTGACCCCTCCCAGACTTCCTGAGCTCACATCCACTAGGGCTTCAAAGGCACAAGATCAGTTGATCTAAGGCTCTTTGCTGCACTTCCTCTAGGAGGAAAGAAAAAGAGGTTGAGAAGTGCCAGCCCTTAGACCCTGTGGGCCACAGTACAAGAAACATGGATTGTGGACCAAGCTGGTCTGGGTTCCAACTCTAACTCTGAAATCCAAGATGGGAGGCTTTGGACAAACTTGGCTTCTGCAGGTCCTAGTTTCCTTGTCTATAAAAAGAGAATAAGAGCACCTGTGAGATGACCTAAGGACAGCAAGGAGGCCTCCTGGCAGGGTCCCTGGCACACACCTATGGGCTTGGGAAATGCCAGTTTTCTTCTTTCCTTGCATCAGCCTTACATTGGAAAGTGGATGCAGCTCTGGGAAGAAAGCATGGACTCTCTGGACTTGGGAGGTCCAGCAGCTCCACTTTTGCCACCATCCAGTCCCCCAACTTACCACTTTTGGACACTGTTCCCTACATCTGCATCCTTACCTTCCACACTCATTCCAGCCAGGCAAACTGCAATGCTTGTATATGGATGCACGAGCTTGAGGCTCAGCCAAGAGCATATGAACCACCTGGTCTATCTTCTCCATTCCCTCCCCTGCCTCAGCCTAACACACACCTGCCCATCATCCTGTCACCATTTGTGCCTGGTCTGGCTGAGATCAAAAGCAGATTATCAGAGCACTAGTGCAGCAGAACCCACCAGAACACAATACTCAATCCCCTTGATTTATACCTCAGCCATGTGGAGACTGAACCAGAGATGAAATCTAGAAGATGCCTATCCTAGGGCCCCAGCTAGCTCTAATATTCAGATCATAGGTCTCTATATGTGTCCCAGCCTTACATGGGCAAGGGCAGGACTGGGGATAGTGGTAGAGTATGTGTTTAGCATGCATGAAGGAGGGGCCCTGGGTTCAATGCCCAAAACTAAAATAAATAAATAATGACAGGAGCAAGCCTCTTCCTCTTCCACTTCATCTTTCTCCTCTTCTTCTTCTTCCTCTTTTTGTGGAGGGGGAGGTTCTAGGGATTGAGCCCAGGGGCACTCCGCCACTGAGCTACATTCCAGCCCTTTCTTTTTTTTTTTTTTTTTTTGAGACAGGGTCTCACCAAGTTTCCAAGGCAGGTCTTGGATTTTTGATTCTCCTGCCTCGGCCTGGCCTCTAAGTGGCTGGGATTACAGGCTTGGGCCACCATGCCCAGCTCTCCACCTCCATCTTTTACTTCTCTGACCAATCAGTGCCCAACTCTCAAGGTGAGCCGACGCCACTTTCTACTGGAAGACTGAGGGGAGTCAGAGCTTAATTTTAGCCATCCTATGTTGAGCACTTTCTACCATCATGTCCTGTTCTGCCTCTACATACTAATTCTCATAGAATCTTGTTATACTTCTAATACTACAGACAGGGAAATGAGGCCTCAAAAGTAAAGTTTTTTTTTTTGTTTTGTTTTTTTTTTAGAGAATTTTTAATTTTTACTTCTTAGTTCTCGGCGGACACAACATCTTTGTTGGTATGTGGTGCTGAGGATCGACGAGCGCGCTACCGCTGAGCCACATCCCCAGCCCTCAAAAGTAAAGTTAACTCTCATTACATCACCAACTTCGATTTCAGCAGGTTACTGGCCTCCAGCCCCCTTCCCCACGGGCCGCCCTCAGCAGGAGTGGACGGGACACACCTTCCTCTGGGCGACACTGCGCAGCAGCTCGGCCTTGCTCCGCAGCAGCCCCTGGCCCGCCAACTCGCGCTCCTCCTCCACGCGGCTCTCGCGCTCCAGCTGCTGGAACTCCAAGTCTTCAAAGAGCTTTGTCTCCGTCTCCAGGGCCTCTGCCTCCTTCAACGACAGCGACATCGGGAATTGGGTGGTGCTCACAATGCCACTCTGGGCCAGGAAGGCCAGGCCACAGAGGTGTGGGTTTGGGGGGCTGCACCCGGGAAAACTAGGGAAGGCACCTGCCCCCACCCAACTCCCTCTGCTCTGTTCGGCTGTGCGCCTTTAGCGGGCATCACAGTCTGGAGCGCTGATCCCCCCCAACCTTGCCGGTCCCCTCCAAGCCACAGCACCGACCCTGGTGTCCGGCAGGTACTGCAGGGGCCAGGCGGTCCCGTCCCACTGCTCTCCTCTCTTCTGTCTGGGCGGTGGCCCGCGGGGGCCGGGGGAGGGGGCTGGTGGAACTGACCCTTCTCAGCTGCTCCTGTAACTGTTCCCGCACTGACTCGGGGCAGTTATCGAGCTGCGTCTGGAGCTCGGCGTAGAGCGCCTGGCGGGCCTCCAGGTGCCTCCGTCCCGCGGCCAGCTCCGCCCTCTCCTGGTCGGCGGGAGGGGAGGGAGGCGGGGCACAGGGGAGAGAGAACACACACTCCTCAACTCCGGCCCGGCGGGGGAGGGGCGCGGGCGCAGCGCGAGACCGCGAGCGGGACAAGAAATCAAAGAGAAGGAAGAAGAGGGCAGAAAGGGAAAGTGAACAGGGTGGAGGTAGAGGGAGACAGGCCAGAAGCAAAGGTGTAAAACAGGGCTCAGTGGCGCAGAGGACAGTGTAAGACAGGCACAGGTGTAGGGCAGGGTGGAAATTTTGGTCTCTTGGAGTTCCTTGAACTAGGAATGTCTGGGTAGATATTAACGTAAGGCCTTCTGTTGCCTCTCCAAACCAGTCAAGGTCAAAGTTGATTCTACCTGGTGAAGCAGAGCCTCAAGCTCCACGCGCTGCCCAGAGACCAAAATTTAACCCAGGGAGAAAGAGGAGTGATGAGTTAAATCCAGGGGCTGGGGAGGATGTTAGAGCTACAGCAATGCAGCAAGGGGACCCCAGCCCAACACCCTGGCTGCCCTCCCCTCCTGCTCGGGGTGGGGGTGGGGTGCCAGCTCTGCAGGCTGAATTTCAGCAGGGATGAGGGTTACAATTAGTTCGGCCGTTGCCATGGTAATAGGAGCCCCGGGAGTGGGTACAGAGAGGAGGTGGATGGCTCTGTCTGGGCGAGATGACACTCTGAGGGCGGCAAGGGGGACGAGGGGAGGAGTTGGTGAGTCACCCCTCTAAAGGACAGGCAAAGGAGAAACTGTGATTACTGACACCAAAGCCAAAGTGGGGCCATGGGCTGAGGGCTGTAAAGGGAAAACAAATGAACCTTTTCCACCACCACCATCACTACCACCATCACCAACAGCACCTTCACTGCCACAACCTCAAACAGCTGGGCCCAGAGAGAAGGCAAAGCCCAGGCCTCCAAGCAATCTCAAGTCAATGAGAAGTGAGGACAGGCAGGTTCCTCATGAAATGTTGAGCTTCATCCCTGAGAGTGAGCCCCTACACTGCACTCCACCACTCACCCCGCCTCTTCCCTCCACACCACCCACCCACCTACCCATCTCCAAAAGAAGGCCCTTATCAGAAGCTCCTGGGGTCCAGGCACTTCCACATTCTTGGACCCTGCCTTTAAAATAACCTGTGTTCTAGATGGCCTCTAGCTGGTGGGGGAAGGATGGGAGAGGCTACCCCTTCTTCTGATTGGGGTATGTGGATTTGGGAAAACTAAGTGGGGAGCCACTGAGTTGACACAGAGGTCCTGTCCAATCCCTCCAAGGCCATGCCCACAACTGGACCTCCTTACCCCTCATCTCCAGAGGGCAGGTGGTTGAAGGAGTACAGCCTGCCTCCCCTGCTCTGCAGGAAGCTGCTAACTGTCCAGTGGGAGGGGCTGTTCAGGCTGAGCAGATCTTGAGCCAACCATCCCCCCCACCACCACCACCTTTATAGCCCTTCTGCCAATGCCCCATAGAGAAAAGTTTAGCTGCTGTGCCCTCCTGCGACTTCCTTTCTGATCAAAACCATAAGATCCCACATCAAGAAGGAGACAATATTAGAAGGGAGAGGTCAGGGCACGAAGGCACCTGTGGAGTTAGTGCAAAAGCAGGCGTGGCTCAGCCCTGCCTGGGTGGCCTGGCAGTTAGGGGCATGCGGAGAGCCCAGGACAGTGATTAGACAGGGCGTTAGTGCAGGCTTGGTTGACAAGCATGGAGTTAATTTGGCACAGAATTTGGGAGTGTGGTTTTGGGGGCCAGAGCCAAAGCTCAAAAAAAAAAAAAAAAAAGAATTTTTAAGACTTTCAAAATTGAGGGCAAGAGGAAGATACTCTCAAAAAATCCAAAGGGAAAATTTAATTCTTGGAAAAATACTGTCAAATCCAGAAATAGATGACCCCTCTCCACTTCAGAGCTTTTGGCACGTTGTTGGGCATCTTGGACATGCTGGAATGGCCCCTGTGGGATGGAGCGGCCCCTGCAGGCTGGCACGAAATCTGAAAGGGGCAGGGGCAGGAGCTGGGACCATCTGAGATGGGAGGGTGCAGATTCTGAAGACTTGGGAAGCAGAGGCCTGTGGACCATCTCCCAAAGACCACAACCTAAGCATCTGAGGCATGCTGGAGGAAAGTGTCCTCCAGATGGCGGGACCCAAACTTGAATCAGCTCCCAGCACAAGTCCCTCCAGCTGTACTCACTGCCCAAGAAGGGGCCCTGGCACTTCCTAAAAGGGCCATGAAGGGCCCAGAATGGCAGGAACCCAGGCACCCAGAGGTAGCACAGAGACCCAGACAGAGAAGACCACAAACACCAGCCCAGCCCCAGGCAGCACCCTTCAAGCTGGTACCTTCCAGAGAGGACTAGGCCCCTGGCCCTCGAGGACCACAGAAACCACCTGGTATGCAGGGTGGATCATAAGGTGAGGGGTTCAGGGCCCCAGGGAAGGCATTTCTCCTTCTCTCCTAGGTCACTGGTTCCCAGCACCAAGCTGGACCAGGTGTGGATTACCTTGTCTCTCTCCTTCTGGATGCCAGTCTCCAAGGCCACCAGCTTCTCCTGTAGTTGGTCTACTGCCTTTTGCTCCTTCTGCAGCAGTGCCCGCTCTGCTTCCCTCTCCCCCTGCAGCAGCGCCCTCTCCATTTCGGCCTAGAGGTAGATACCAAGATCCCTATTAAAACAGAACTCGGGACCCTGTAGGGGTCTGTACCCTACCAGCCAGCTCACCTCTCTGGCCGCTTCTTGTAGCTGCTGCTCTAGCTCCTTCACGCGGACCTTGAGCTGCTCCACACGCCCCAACACCTGAGCCCGCTCCTCTTCTAGGGCTAGCAGCTCTCCTTGGAGCTTGGTGCTAGGTGCATCTTCATGCTGGAGGGGAGGGCAGCCATCAGCCAAGGATGCCCAGTGCCTTCCAAGATAACAGATTAAGAGACCAAACCACATATTCTTCAGGGCACTTAGAAAGAGTGGTTGAACTGAGACAGGAGGCTACCCGCCTGCCTGCCAGGGAAGCCATAAAAGCTCAGCCTCAGGGAATAAAGATTTACCAGAGTGCCAGGCCTGGGTGGGGCTCCAAGGAAAGGCAGGTGAAAAGCCTATTAATAACTCGGGAAAGTCAACACCACCTCTGTTCTTTTCCTTGCCTCCTCATTTCTACACCTCTGGTCTCTGGTCTCTTCCCAAACAATGACTTCATTACTTCCCTCCCATTGAGTCCTGGCATTCACCACACGAGCCTCCCTCTGGTGCCCTGGCCCTGCCCCTCATCCAGTGGAGTCCCTCAGCCCACCCCACCTCCTGCTGGGTGCTCTCTGTGCTACTGCACTCCTCCTTGAGATTTTCTTCATCTGAGCGCTCCACGCTCTCCCACAGGCGTTGGGCAGCACTTCCAGGCTCCTCGCTGCTCCGTCCAGAGGCCACAATGGCCCCGGCAAAGCCTCGTGAGGGCCTCCGACCTGCCAGTGCCAAAGCTGCAGTGGCCTCCCCAATGCTGGGCAGCTCCCCGGCCTCTGGTCCCCCATCAGCCCGGCTGTACTCAGCACACAGGTTCAGGATGGTCTCCAAGCGCTGGCGCTCCTGGGAAGGGTAGACAGAACAGGGCATAAGGGAGAGGCCGAGCCCTGCGGGGAGGGAGAGCTGGAACACTAAATGCTAAATGCATGGGGCCCAGCATCAAGTCAGGAGAGCACCAGCCCCAAGAACTGTGGGAGACCAAGGCAAGGTGAGTGCCCCAGAAGTGGACATAAGGAACCAGCCTGTGTGCCACCTGTCCATGTGGCCAGCCCCTCCTATCTTCCTGTTTCCTCTCCCTTCTCATTCTATCCCAGGATGGGGCTTCCACGTGGTCACAAGGACACACCTGAACACACACAGAGACATATGGGTAGTCAGACTGAAGACCACAATGAGACACATGTCAACTCAGGTGCTCACGCTGACACAGGTACACACAGATCTTACGCACAAGGGCACAATGACACACGGATATGCACACAGGCAGGTGCAGATGCAACGTGTGCACTAGCCCTACGTTAACAGGTAGATACACACGCAGACACCAGCCCTGACATGCACAAATACATACTCACACAGATAAACATAGTCCACATACAGCTGGGTGGGCACCAGCAGACAGACAGGCTGGGAAGCAGACCCAGGGGCCCACAGGACCTGACACTCAGCCCAGACACACATGAAAAAGAGGTACAGCTGAGACCCAGTCCTCTCTATCCCCATCCCAGCTCCAAGCCACCCTCAGACTCCTTACCAGCAGGGAGGGCTGCTGCTAGCTGTTGAATGTGCAGACCCAGATACAAGTGCTCTGTGGCCCTGACACTTACAGACTTCCCTACACACATCAAGAAGCAGTCACCTCTCAGAAGATGGAGATGTGAGGACAAATAGTGCAACCATGCTCCTGATCAGCGTCCCAGTCTCCATTCACAATACTCCAGCTCTGACTCCTGGTACTGAGCCTCCCATGGCCCTCTGGGGTCTGTTAACCTCTTCAAAGGTTTCCGACTACACACAGTTCAGCCATGACTCCTCACCCCTCCACACTTACCCGGTTTTCCTCCTGCTGCTTGCCGGGTTCCATGGCAAAAAATGCAGGAACAGAATCCCAGCACCCAGAAGGCTGGGCCCATGCCCTGCCCCCGCCCTAGGACCCAGATAAGCAGCCTGGTTGGGGTGGGAGGGGCAGGGCGGGCAGCCTCCAAGACTTAAAGTGGCAGGTGGGGCAGGTCAGGGCTGGTGGTAAGGTGTGCCTGTGTGACGGGATGGGGGTGGGGAGGCTCAGTGGAAGAGTTGAGGCACTCTGCCTGTGTCTGGGGCCAAGCTCACTGCCCCTCGAAGGAAGAGATCCCAGGGTGGCCAAGCACTGTGGTGTAGGCCAAAGCCAAACAGTGACTGAAGATGGAGCATTGGGAAAGACTGGGAGCCCACTTCCCACCCAGCAGAAGCACACTGTTGCACACTCTCTCCCCAAACTGTCTAGCTTCTTCCCAAAGGGTCTCCAGTTCCAGTTCCTCTCCTTAAACCAATCCCATAGTTCCTGGGCCCTCAGGAACCCCATGCTTCCACTCTCAAGGGAAAGTGAGCAGAATCCATTTTCCTGTATGTGGGCTCAAGTATGTATACATTGGCCAGAGCCTCTGGAGCTCCTTGTACTATCTGGAGAATCCCTGGCCCCAACCTAGCTCAAATGCCAACTCCAGCACAGCTGCCCAGAGCCACACCCAGCCCTGCATGCACCCACATGCACACATGCAGACGCATAGGTCACAATCACACATGCCAGCCAGGGGCTGCCCACCCTGTTCTTTCCCTATTCCCTGCTACCATACTCCCAGTTATCCTGCTGGCGCTGAGATGAGCAGCTGCCTTCCATTTGTAGAGGTCAAAAAGAAGCAAGAAAGAAGGACCAGGAGCTATTCTAAAGAACAAGCCTCAATGCCGGAAGAGTTGGGGAACTCTGCCTGTGTCTGGAGCCAAGCTCACTGCCCCTCAAAGGAAGAGATCCCAGGGTGGCCAAGCACTGTGGTGTATGCCTATAATCGCAGAAGCTCAGAGGATGAGACAAGAGATCACAAGTTCAAAGTCAGCCTCAGCAATTTAGCGACTTAATGAGATCCTGTCTCAAAATACAACAAATAAAAGTCTGGGGATGTGGCTCAGTGGTTCAGCACCTCTGGGTTCAATCCCCAGTACCAAAAAAAGAACAAGCCTCAAGCTGGACATTGTGGCGCACACCTGTACCTCAGCTACTGGGGTGGCTGAGACAGGGGGATCACAAGTTTAAGGTCAGCCTGGTAAACTTAACAAGACCCTCTCTCAAAACAAAATAAATAAATAGGGATGGGGCAGGCAGTAGTGGAGTGCCCATGAGTTCAATCCCCAGTACCAAAACGGAGTGAAAAAGCCCCAGAGATGGAAAGACAGCAGATTTGGGTTCCAATTCCAACTTTGCCAAAACTTGTTGTATTACTTCAGAAAATCCAATTCCCTCTTTGGGCCTCAGCCTTTTCATCCCCACAACCTGCTTCTCAAACTGAGAGATACAAGGCCTCACCATAACTAAAACTAAAAAATAAATATTAAAAAAAAAAAAGTGGTATGCTTTCCTAGAGATTCATTGTACTGGGGTAAATAATTAAAACTTAGTTTATACATTAAAACAAATGCTCTGTTGTAGAATATATGCAAAATTAGCAAGAATTTAAAATAAAGCCTTAGAGGTTTCAAAGTTACTCTTCAGGGCACCAAAACTATGAAATACTAGTCATTACGGTGTATCCTGAAGTTGGGGATGCATAAGCCCAGGCCCTATCCAAGGGTCCCCTTGCTCTGCCAGCTGGCCTGCCCACACCCTGGCAGAGACCCTGCCTTGGATGGTGGCAATCTCCCTGGCATCTGCTCACCAGCCTCTCCATCTCCTGCTCCCGGAGCCGCTCTTGGCGCTGCCGCCGGTGGTACTCCAGGAGGTCATCTTCATTGTCACTGATCTCTGTGATGCTATTTTTCCTTTCCCGAGTGACAGGTACCCGCAAGTCCCCACTGGAGAGCTTCCTCTGGGCATGAGGACTCTGGCGTGGTGAAGCCCCAGTAAGAGAACCCAGACTATAGGCTGGGCTCAGCCTGCCACTGAAGCTGCCCTTGCGAGGTGCCAAGGACTCCCCCAGGGTGGGTGAGGGACTCCGTGTTCTGCGGCCTCGTGTCCCCAAAGTCAGGGAGAAGTCCTCTGGTGAAGCTCCATGGGCTGCCCACCGCCGGGGCCGTGGACTGTCTGCTACCTCCCTGGTGAGCTTGGGATCTGGGGTGGTCCGAGCAGGCAGTGGGGAGAGAGCTCGTCGGGACAGAGATGGGCTCAAGGGAGGGAGTTCTCGCATACTGTCCAGGCCCCGCCGACCCAGGCGGGGACTCTCAGGAGGCTGCAGGGTGCGGGTAGCTGACCCATCTGAAAATGTTCGGCCCACCAGTTGGCGAGAGGGACTCGTTGTCAATACCCTCTCCGTGCTGGGAGGGTCACGGAAAGGGCTTGGAGGGCGGTCCTGGAGTGTGCTGATCTTGTTGCGAGGAGCAGGAACTGGAGACTGGAACTTGGGGCTGCCAGGAATGCTGGTGGGTTGGCTGCGGGCACCGGCAGCTGGGTATTCACTCAGGCTGATAGCTACCACAGGCAGCTGCCCTCCCAGTCGGGGACTCTCAGTGGCTTTGCGGGCTTCTGCCAAGACCGTGGCTGAAGGGCTATCAGTCAATAGCCCACGGAGGCCAGGGCTGGGAGGCCTCTCATGACCTCCTTTTCTACCCAGCCGGGGACTCTCAGAGGAGCGGGCACCACTTGGGCGGGACTGTGGGGGCTGCAGGGCCAAATGGTAGCTGGATGAGCGAGCAGGCACCAGTGGGGGGACAGAAGACAGTCCTGGCTCTTGCCCACTGGGTGAATGGCTGGCACAGCTCCCACTGCTGGCTGGTGAAGAGAGTGGTGAGAAGGCTGGAGAGGTGTTCTCATAGCTAGAGCCCACAGACATGGCCCCAGGGCTGGTTGGAGGGGACAGCAGGTAGCGGCCACCATTAGCCATTGGCGACAGTGGGGAGGTTGCAGCAGGCTTCTTGCCAGCTGCTCCAGGTTCCTCTAGCACCAGTGAGTCCATGATTTCCTGCAGGTCCTTCTCAATGGAGCTCACTAAAGAACTGTGGCTGGCACAAGCTGGGGGTCCCCGGGTTGCAGGCTGTGGGGTATGGTTCCCATTCACCAGACTTTCTGATTCAGCTGAGGGAAAAAGCAAAGAGGTCTCAGGCTCTGGCCTTGGGCTTTGGAAGCTACATATGCACAAGAGCAAGGACACCACCCCACCTCTTCCTAGCCCAGATCTGAAGAAGCCAGGATATCTGGGTTCTTCACCAGGTGCTGGCACCAGCCAGCTCTGCCACTGCTGTGCTCTGTATCCTTAGCCAAGTTACTTGCCCTCAGTGTCTCCTTTTTGTAAAGGAAGAAGATGGGCAGGACCCTCCTGGCTCTAACATTTTATGACATAAGACAAAGTTAGCAAAATGTCAGGATACATCTAAGCCTAGTTTTTGCCAACTTGCCCCTGGACTAGACTCCTTCCTGCCTTGGTTTTCTCATCGTCCTTACATTTCTCTTCAGGAAGGGTAATGGGGCATTCTGCAAAGGAGATGGGACCTACTGTGGAGTGGGCCAGAAGTTCCAGGGCCTCCTACTCTAATAGGACATCATTTCCTCCCAACACAGCAGCCAGAGACCCAGGGAAAAAAAAACAAAGCCTCAGGGCTGGGCAAGAATTGTGCTCTGGAGCGCTCTGTCCAATCAGAGGCAGGGGAGGGATTCAGTGCTAATGGCTGGTTCCTGGAAGCCCTGCTGGCCAGCCACGAGGTGCAGCTCAATGCCTCCAATTATCCCATTAAGCCACACCAGCAAGAGCCTGCCTTTGCCTGGCCCCTTGTCAACCAACCAGGGGACTGCAGTCCCTGGAACCATTGCCTCAAACAGCTCTGAGAAGTGGCATAACAAGGCTGGGGTGGAGGCAGGGTAAAATTAAACAGGGAGTGGACTAGGAATCTAGGCTTCTGTGCTCCCAGGGGACTAGAAGAGACTGGGGTTGAGAAAGAGGAGAAAGGAACTCCTATGCAAGACAGAGCATGGGTCCAAATTCTGGGACTGTGTGCAACACAGTCAGATGGGGTTGTCATGAATAGTGTTGATCCCAATGACCACTCAACTTTCTTCAAGTTCCCGGACTATACATTTAGGTCACCGATAACTACTCTACCAGATGTCCCAGACACATGTGTCCATCTGCCCCATAGCTTCATTGGCACCTATAGCCCTGCAGCCATTGAATGCCACTGCAAAGTCTAGAGAGGCAGACTCACTGCCCCCCACCCCTAGGCAGCTGGCTGAGGAGGCCTGTGTTGGTTCCTAGAACAATCACCGATTCTCCTCTGGGGATCAATAATTCACACACAAACTGCAGCTGCTCCTCTGAGTCATCGTCGAGCATGGCAAGGCCTGAGGGTTGGGTAGGACCCAAGAACATGATCACCAGCAGGTGGGCCCCACCAGGGCTTACTGGGGGTTCAACCTAATGCTCAGGCCATTCTTGAGGGTGAGGTTCCTGGTGGTATCACAAGAAGGCAGGGTCCCAGACACTGAGTGGCCTCTTCTAGGTCAGTAGGATAAAGTCAGGCAGACCCCTCTATCCCTCAAGGTACATCAATTCCCAATTTCAGCCAAGCAGCACTGCCTCGGCTCTCTCCCAGTAGCCCCTCTGCCTGGCCTTCTCCAGCAGACTATGGTAGGTAGCAGCGAGACCAGACCCTGTATATTGTCCCACCCTAACACTGTAAGAATGGTTGAAGTGGGCGAGAAGAGGTCAAAGGGGTACCACCAATCCAGCACCTCCCTGCCCAGGCTAGACACCTACCAGAGCCAGGGTTGTAGGGGGGCCCAGGAGCCCGGCCCCCTGCTGGAATCATGCTCTTCATCCACTTGGCTTCAGCAGGGTGGTTAAAGCGGAGGAAGGTGGACTGACCCAGGCACAACATGCAGCCTGCAGAGAAAGCAAATGCTTGCAAGGGACAAGCAGGGCCAAAGCCATCCCAACCCGCAGCACAAGTAGGTTCACCCCCAGCTCCAAAAAGCAGTTCCCACCTATACTTACAGTGTCCCCACAATGCACACCTGACCCTGCCTGTCCCTGAGCTGGGCCCATGTGGGGCTCCACAGCACAGAGCAGAGTAGAAAGAACACTGGCAGGCAAGTCCCCAAACTACATCCTCTTAATTCCTCTTCTCACTACCACCTGTGAGATCTTTCAGTGAAGTTACTTCACCTCCAACTCTACTTCTCTCCTCAGAAAAATGGGACCATACCACTGAGCTTACCGAGCTAAAAAGACCATGTGTGAAAAATATCATCAGTGGAGAAAGTTCTTCAGAGAACATGAGCACCACATCCTCCTACCCCCAACCTAGATTCATGATACATCCAAACATCTTCTGAATAGAACGGTTAGTCTGTTTTTTACTGTTTTTCCAGTACTAGGGATTGAACCCAGGGTGCCTTACCAATAAGCTACATCCCCACATGTCCAGCAGTTTGGTTTTCTTTTCTTTTTTTTTTTTTTCAGTGCTGGGTATTGAACCCAGGCCTTCATGCATGCTAGGCAAGAACTTGATCCCTGAGCCACATCCCCAGCCCTCCAGCCCTTTTTATTTTTAATTTCAAGAAAGAATCTCACTAAATTGCCCAGGCTGGCCTTGATCCTTCTGCCTCAGCCTCCCAAATCACTGGGATTACAGGTATGCATCACCATGCCCAGCTAAAAGGGTTAATTTAAAAGGCAGCAACTACCAGAGTCACAAAAAAAACTCTGAGATAGTAGACAAGGGAAAAGCCATGGTTTAGTCAGATTCCTTCTTGCTGTGTGGCCTCAGGATTACTGCCACCCTCTCTGAGTATCTAAGGAGTAACTACCACCTGTTTCTTCTTTCTTTCTTCTTCCTTCCTTTTTTTTTTTTTTTTTTGAGAGAGAGAATTTTAATATTTATTTTTTAGCTCTCGGCAGACACAACATCTTTGTTTGTATGTGGTGTTGAGGATCGAACCTGGGCCGTACGCTACCACTTGAGCCACATCCCCTCCCTCCCTCCCTCCCTCCCTCCCTCCCTTCCTTCCTTCCTTCCTTCCTTCCTTTTTCAGCACTGGGATTAAACCCAGGGATGCTTTACACTGAGTCACATCCTCAGCCCCTTTTTTATTTTTTATTTTGAGACAGGGTCTCACTAAGTTGCTAGGGCCTTACTAAGTTGCTGAGGCTGGTCTTGAACTTGTGATCCTCCTTCCTCAGCCTCCTGAGTCACTGGGATTACAGAGGTGCCCCACTGTGCCTGGCCATCCCGTTTCTTTCTTTCTTTCTTTCTTTCTTTCTTTCTTTCTTTCTTTCTTTCTTTCTTTCTTTCTTTCTTTCTTTGTTTTTTTAACCCTGTTTCTTTTTGACATGGCATCCTCTGGCTATTCCTCTAGTCTCACCTGGAATCTAGTCAGACCCAGACCACTAGGCTCAGTAAAGCCCATTCCCAGGCGGTAGACACAAGCCTAGTCCTGCCCAGGAAGTGTGAGTGCATAGAAGGGGGAGGTTATTATGTGGGAGCCAGAAAATGTAGCCAGGGGCTCAGGAGTGTGCACAGTGGCAGGTGTCCCCTCAGGCGCCTAAGCCTGGCTGGCAGAATTCCACCTCCTTGCCATACCAGGTGCTAAAGGACTCCTACAGAAGATGCTATGCTAGGAGAGGCCAGAGCCCCTGCTCTCTACCACCCACCATTCCATTTGTCCACACCCCTGGTCTCAGCCTCCTGTCTACCCAACCCAATGCCACTTGGCACCCCAAACTTCATGCCAGTCTGAGCTAAGACTGGCAGGGAAGTCTACATTCCTGGACGCTGAGACAGTGCAGCTCAGGGAGGCAGCAAGGGCAAAGGGCATCCCAGGCCACGTGGGTATTTTGGCAGGCCCCCTACTGAGAAGCTCAGGAGTCCATTCTTAAGACCCCTGGCATTGCCATGGGGCGGAGGACTAGCAGGACAAGAAGCCCATATCAGACAAAGCCTCTCACTCCCTTGGCACACCCAAAGGCCCGCCCAGGGTGATGGGTGGTTAGGAAAGGGGATCGCCTTCTCTGCCAAGTCACCAATCAGAGAAGCTGATCCCAGAGTAATCACAACTGAAATAAATGCCAGTCAACCACACCGTCCACCTAATTACAACCACAGCTGTTTCAGGAACGGCCCTGCCTGGCCCCTCTCCTTCCTTTCAGCCATTTAACAAACTAATTAATGATGAGTTTGCAGGGTCTAGACAGACCCACTCAACTGGAGGTTGATGGAGGGAGGGGGATAGAGGTTAGGAAGACCCTGAACACACAGTCCAAACTGGGAAGGAGGGGATTTCTGGGTGGATCCCATCCCAGCAGTGCCAGGCCCACCCAAGAAGGCTGTGAGTATCTAGCGACCCTCTTACCCTGGCCAGTATAGGACTAGAGGCACCTGCCCCTCCCCCTACCCCACACGGGGGTGTGGCCTCGCTCCCTCTGGGCTATAAATAGTGATGCCAGGCAGCAAAGCTAGAGCTGTATTAATAGAGCGGGCAGGAGGGCAGCAGGACTGAGAGCAGCCCAGCTCCTGCCCAAATTAACTTTCTATTTGCACTCAGGGGCCTCAGGCATAGCCCCAACTCTGGCACCTACCGCCCCCAGGGGAAGAAGTGGCCTCTCTGTCCACTCCTCCACACCCACAAGGCTAGCCCTGTCTGGAAGCCCAGGAACCCAACCAAAGTCATGGTCCCTGACCTCCATGCACAGAGCACCTAAGGTCCAGCTGCTGCAGGTGGGTAGAGAATCTGCACATCTGGAGGGAAAACACTGGGCAAAGGAGAGGGTGGATCCTGCCTCGGAGAGATACACAGGGGAAACACCACACACAGACACACTCATAGGAACACACACGGAATCACAGGCAGCCATGCTCACTCGCACACACAGAGCAACACTCACTGCCCTGCTGGTCACACATAGAATGGACTGGCCAAAGGGAGGGTGGACGAAGGGAGAATAGGAACAAGAGCCTTGGTTTTTCCCATCAGAGACCCCTCTTGGCCACAACAAGGCTCCCCTCATCCTAACCGTGATCCCTCGACCCCTTGGGAGGCGGATCCCAGGAGGGGACTGCCCAGCGCTAGGAGAGATGAGGTCTGCACAGCTGAGAAGTGGCCCCAAGCCCAGAACCCCACTCAGAAACGTTCAGGGACTCACAACCTTGGAGTCTCACAGCCTCAAGCTCCCAAACAGAGGTCGAACACCCCATCCCCCTCCTCGCACCCACCCTCCCAGGACGCCCCAGACGCCAGGGGCTGTGGCTGACCGGGCTGAGCACTCACCGCTGGACCCGGACCTCCAGACGGTGGGCCCCGGCCAGCGCGGGCCCTGCAGGTCCCCG